AGCAGTTAAAGCAGAGAGGACGACTTGGGAGTAAGGCCAAGAGATGATTGGCCCCTCCCATAAGGCTTAAAAGACCAGCAATGGCGTTTGGGCTTTGCCGGAAAACGACGTTGGTAGCTTTGTCTTCTTCGTCTACGTCTTGTATTTATTTTTGTATCTGGGACTTCTGAACGTTTGCCAAGAAAGGCCTTTGGCAGTTTGCCTAATTGGACCAAGGTTTGCGATAGGACTGAGAAATTTGCATTGGGAGGAATTTGCTTTAATTTAGTCGAACGATGCTGGGAATGAAGTCATACTCAGCTGTTCGAATAAAGTTTGTTTGTTTTTTCACTGACTGATTTTCCTACTATTTACTTTGGCCTGGGTCACAACACCACCTCTCTTACAGTGGTCAAGAGTGTACATTTTATATCATGTGTATAAGAAATAAAAATGAAAAACTTTTCAAGAGTGAGATTCCAAGCTCAGGCCTCAATCCAAGCCTTTAGGTTTTCCACTGACTCTCAAAAAATTATTTTAGCTTTGGATTCTTCACTATTCAATTTCTCAACATACATGGTTAGCCCTGTAAATTGGATTCACAAATCGTAAATAAATAAGACTAAGGAGAACTTGAAAGTACAGGTAGACCTCGACTTACAGCAATTCACTTAATGACCGTTCCAAGTTACGGCACTGAAAAAAGTGACTTACGACCATTTTTCACTCTTTTGACCATTGCAGCATCCCCGCCATGGCCGCGTGATTTACATTTGGATGCTATGACAACTGATTCACATTTATGACCATTGCACTATCCCGGGGTCATGTGATCTCCTTTTGCGACCTTCGGACAAGCAAAGTCAATGGGGAAACCACATTCACTTTTAACAACCATGCTACTAATTGAACAACTGCAGTGATCCATTGAACAAATACGGCAAGGAAAGATGTAAAACAGGGCAAAACTCACCAAAGTTTCTCGCTCAGCCACATAAATGTTGGGCTCGATTGTGGTCGTACGTTGAGGACTACCTGTGCTACATCATAGAGGTAGGGCCCATAACCAAATATTAAGTCTGCAGAATGTGGGCATATGGATTTAAACTCCAGGAGGGCCAGGCTTCCATTGAATTTATGAAAAAACTATCTAAGAGCTTTCAAATTCCGTTTTATGGGATGGTGTTGAAGAGATGGATGGTCCCCGTCGGAGAGTGATGTCTGGAATGAGCAGGGGGTGAGCTGCTCAAAGAACCCTTTCGAAAATACAACAGATATGATGCCTTCTGGGAGAGATGTTGGCCAGACAGCAATCAGGTCATTGGTGGGTTTCAAAAAAATTTACTACCGGTTCTATGGGCATGGCTTGGTGGGCGTGGAAGGGGAAGGATACTGTAAAATCTCCATTCCCACCCTACTCCAAGGGAAGGATACTGTAAAATCTCCATTCTGTCCCCACTCCAAGGGAAGGATACTGCAAAATCCCCATTTCCTCCCGATCAGCTGGGATTTGGGAGGCAGAGAATAGATGGGGGCAGGGCCAGTCAGAATTTTTACTACCGGTTCTCCAAACTACTCAAAATTTCCGCTACGGGTTCTCCAGAACTGGTTCAGAACCTGCTGAAACCCACCTCTGAATCAGGTGGTGAAATAGTTCATCTCAATTCACTCAAAGGTGGTGTGTGGGCTGTGGAGATTAGTAACTCAAAATTGAGTTTTTCAAACTCGGTTAGTTGAAGATGGGTGGACTTCAACTCCCAGAATTCCCCAGCCCAGTTTGAAAAAAAACAACAACCACCAAATAACCCCACTGTACAGGTAGTCCTTGACTTACAAGTTTGCTTAGTGACCGTTCGAAGTTACGACGCCACTGAAAAAAGTGACATGACCATTTTTCATGTTTACAACCACTGGAGCATCTGTATAGTCACGTAATCAAAATTCAGAGTGTTAGAAACTGATTCCCATTATGATGGTTGCAAGTGTCCCGACTTACAACAGTTCGTTGAGTGAGTGTTCCAACGGCACTGAAAAAAATGGACTTATGACCATCTTTCAGAGTTATGAACTTTGCAGCATCCCCCATGGTCACACGATCAAAAATTCAGACGCTTGGCAACTGGTTCACATTTATGACGGTTGCAATGTCCCGGGATCACGTGATCCCCTTTTGCGACCTCCTGACAAACAAAGTCAATGGGAAAGACAGATTCACTTAACGACTGTGTTCAGTAGTGGGTTTCAAATCCCGCCGCTACTGGTTCGCTATTGGTAGCACGTGGGCGCGCTTGCTTGCTTTGCGAGCGTGCGGCGCTTCTGTGCATACACAGAAGCTTCTGCGCATGTGCAGAGTGTTTTTGATGACGTCTGAGTGCCGCTACCAGTTTGCTTGAACCGGGGCGAACTGGGAGCAACCCACCACTGACTGTGTTACTAACTTAAGAACTTTAGCGATTCGCTTAACAACTGTGACAAGAGAGGTTGTAAAATGGAGCAAAGCTCGCTGGACAACTATCTGGGACAAAATTTTGGACTCAAGGGCGGTCGTTAAGTCGAGGACTACCTGTATATGAACTCTTCCGGTGAGGCAGCCAAGCTGTCCCAGTGATAGGTACCTTAATGCAGGAGTGGGCAACTGTGGCAAGCTGTCTCAGGAATTCTGGGAGTTGAAGTCCACAGGTTGTAAAAGGGCCACAGTTGCCCACCCCTGCCTTAATGCAAAAAAAAAAAAAAAAAGGGGGGGGGGAATGGACAAAAGAAAAAAAGAACCAGAATATTGAGAAGTAAGGCAAGAAGGCAAAAGGGGAGAGGATAAATCAGAAAAAGGGAAAAGGGGAACAGAAAGAAAGTGAGATATAGATATAGATATATATTTATTTTTATATATATATATATTTTAAAAAAAGACACAAGTCTCCCATTTGGTTTTTCTTCCCCTCCACAAACTTATGCTTTTAATTAAATAAATAAAAGGTATTCAAGGCAATATCACTTCACAGTGGAAAACCCTCCGCGGCTTCAGCAGTGGGGGGAGGGCGGGGAGGGGGCAGGGAGAGAGGCAACCAGGAAATAGGATGAAAAAAAACAAACAAACAAAAAAACAAAAAAACAAAAACAAGGCAACGAAGATAAATGAACACTTCGTAACAAAATAAAGGAATAAAGATTTTCTTCTTTTGTGGAACAACCTTCCCTCCCCCCCCCCCCCTCAGCACGGTATTCCTTAAAAAAAAAAAAAAAAAAATCCCCCTCCACTCAATGTAAACAAACTTGGAAAATTCGTAGTATAAATAAGACATTTTCAAATATTAAAACAGAAGGAATGAAATAGGGCCGTTCCAAAGGAAGCGAGGGGACAAGATGTTAAAAGGATTCATCGGAGCAAAATATTTATATTTTTATATATATATATATATATGTATATATATATATATTCTTTTGAGGAAGGGCATTATGAACAAAGGGGATTGTACGGGATTGATGGTTGCTTCCATCAAATCAGTGTTTCTTAACTTTGGCAACTTGTAAGATATTGTGGATTTCAACTCCCAGAATTCCCCAGCCAGATTTGCTGGCTGGGGAATTCTGGGAGTTGTAGTCCGCACTTTAAAGTAGACAGAGTTGAGAAGCGCTGAATTAGATGGCGTTTGATTGGGGTAGGGGGATACATCCATCAAGAAGGGCCCAAACGTATATGGCCCAAGACCCTTCTCTAAAATACAGCGAAGGGCAAAGGTCACACAAGAGCTTCCTGTTGCCAATTGCAACTTTCTGTCAACAGGGGAAATCCGTCGGCAGAACCTCTGCCCCCTACTGGTAGAACCTAGGAATGCAGCAAGAGAAGAAAAGCATTCTGGACATTGGTCTAAAAGGGGGAATGTGGAACTCTTCTGGGTGACCTGAGAAATCATGTACCAATACATTGTTTTGTCCTGGGTGGGTTTACGTGATCCTGTGGAACATTTCGGAGACCATTGGACATGCCAAGAAATCAAGTTACCGTATTTTTCGGAGTATAAGAGGCTCTGAAGTATACGACACACCTAGCTTTTGGGGAGGAAAACAAGGGGAAAAAAAATCTGCCTCTGCCTCCCAGCAATTTGCCTCCTTGCAGCAAACAGCAGTCTGTTTCAGTTTCAGCACAGCCTGATTAGCACAAGCAGCTGATTGTCAGTTGGATGCCTCCCGACGATCAGCTGTTTCAGGCTGCAGGGATTGCCATAGCCTATTGCTGTCTCCACATGCCCCATTTTCGGCCTCTGCATCCCATTTTTGGCCTTCGCACACCTCATTTTCCACCCATTCTGATCCCTGCCACCCAGAACAGGAGGAAAATGGGGGTGGAGGCTGAAAATGGGGTGCATGGAGGCGGCAATAGGCTATGGCAACCCCTGCAGCCTGAAACAGCTGATTGTCGGAGGCCAATCCAGCCGACGACCAGCTGCTTGTGCTAATCAGGCTGTGCTGAAGCTGAAACGGCTGTTTGCTGTAAGGAGGCAAATTGCTGGGAGGCGGAGGCCAAAGGATGGGGGCTGGCAGGTGGGCGGGTCTACATTCGGTGTATAAGATGCACCCTAATTTTCAGCCTCTTTTAGGGAGGAAAAAAGTGTGTCTTATACTCCGAAAAATGCGGTATTATGCTCCTCAAAAGGACAGACCCAGCCCTGTGCAAAGGAATGGGCAGGCGTTCTCAAAACGGGATGTGGGTGGTGGTGGGTTTCGCCTTACGGTATCCAGAACAATGATTGAATGTGTGAAGCCCCTTGGAAGAAATGTTAACCCTGAGAGTTGAAGATTGACCGGTCTGGGGCGACATTAGTGGGTGACGAAATCCAGAACCCCAGAATAATCAAGGTTTAAAATGAGGAAGAGAAAGGCGGAGCGGGGGAAGTGAGAAGGAAGAAAAGAATACAGGACGTTAGAAAAAGGAGTGGAATTCTTGTTTTGCTGCCAAAAAAAAAATAAATTTTTTTTTGCCGCAAATGCTATGGTAAAACTCATCAGAGGTTTTTTTGGGTGGGTGGGTGGGTGTGGGTTCACTGAATCCAGAGGAGCACTGAATGCGAAGAACAGGAAGAGGGGGAAAAAAAAAGAAAAGAAATATATTTCTCGGACAGTCCTAAAAGGGATTTTTCATCCCTGCTAAGCTGCAAGGAAACCCCCAATTGTAGGACATTGAGTTCTCAGCTCAACCAAGCATCGCTGCTTGATTCGCTCCGTCCACCACCCGGCGCTGGTCCCTAAAAGCAGATCCGGCCATCTTGTCATCACCGCTTCATTTTGGAGCTGGTTTTCCTTCCCTGTGACCTGGCGCCTCGCCTCTGCAAGCTCTTTTTTTTCCAGAGAGGCTCTCCAAGGTCTGTGGTGGGAGAGGCGTGAGACAACCATTGACCTTCCCCTTCAAAAGAAGCCGGGGAGGATGAAGGACGATTAACTCTGCGACTGGATCCAGAATGATTAAAAAAATAAAAATAAAAAACACTTCTGGCTTTCCCTCCTGCACCCATCTTCACTTTCCCCCAAAACATCTGGGGCAGAAACAGCCCCCAAACCAGCAGTGAAATCCAGTGAAGCCTGCTACCAGTTCGGTGAATCTGCTACCGACAGCGAGAGGGGGAGAATCCGCTGTGCCACATGATTTAGATTAGCTAGAAAGCAGGAAATCCAACGATTCTAGCTAATATAAATCGCGCGTCACAGCTGATCGTCGCCCAGCTGATTGTCGGAAATACTGATTCGCCCGAACCGGTAGCATTTTTTTTACTACCGGTTCGCCTGAACCTGTCCGAACCGGTAGCATTTCACCCCTGCCAGAAACGATGCGGTGATTGGATGGAAGCAAGGTAGGGGATTATGGGGCAAGGTGGTGTCCTCATTTCCCGTTTGTTTCCATTTTTACCTGTTCTAAGGCTCCAGTTGTACAAAATTGGGGAGAACACAAAGCTTGGGCTGTCTCTTATCTCGTTGAATCGGGAGGGGAGTTCGGGTGTGGGTGGGGATGTTCTCTTTTGAGAGTATAAATGCAATACCCCCCCCTCTTTGGGACTTCGCGGTTTAAAAATTTTTTAAAGGAAAAGGATCTGAAATGCAATCTGGAAACATTGTGGAGAAAAGAGCTGCGTGTATGGCACTGTCTTTGTCCTTGCTAATCCTGCCAACGTTTCGGAGTGGTCAGAACAACCAAGCTTGGAGAGGGTGGGTGGGTGAGAGAACTCCTCATGCTCCCCTTCCCTCTCTTACTCCTCTCTGCACTCCCCTCACCCACCCTCCAAGTCTCAGTTTGGCACACCGAAGAAGCAGCAGTGGTAGAACTGCTGCGAATGGAGTAGTAGGTCGTGAAAAATATCTCTCTTTAGCAAAAATAAAAGACAATAAAATCAGAGGGTGGGGTTTCCCTCCCCCCATCTTTCCCTTGCCTGAAATCACTCTGCTAAACATGGAATGTATGTTTTTGGGATGTGTGGGTGTGTGTGAAGGGGGATGTAGATGCTGCTAGGCCGAATTCTCTCTCCTTACTCTTTTGTCTCCCTACTTGCACCGATTCTGCACTAAATGTGACTTTATCAGAAGTGGGAAAAATAAACCTCGTGAGCAATTCCTGTAGGGCAGTGTTCCTGAACTAGGGCAACTTTTAAGATGGGTGAACTTCAACTCCCAGAATTCCTCAGCCAGCATGGATGTCTGGGGGAATTCTGGGAGTTGAAGTCCACAAAAAGCCAGCTTGGGAATTCTGGGAGTTGAAGTTGCCAGGGTTGAGAAACATGAGGATCAGAGAGACGTGCCCCCCCCGGACTGTTTTCTGCACCTGACTTCGAGGAAGTCCCCCCCTCCCCACCAGATAGAGGTCACAGGGAGGAGAAAACAGGACCCAACAGGGTTTCCACTCGCTCTAACCACACAGGGTCACAAAATTTGGCAACAAGTCGTCCCACGTACGCACGTGCCCGTGTGCGCATGTATAGCAACACACTCGGACGCTCTCACCCACCCACACCGAATCAGGTGTACGGAAAAGACCTGAACTAGCGGGAGGTACCAGTCCTGACATTGATGAAACTAAAATTCAGGTATTCTCTACCCTATTTTGCTCCGGTGATTAGGAACCCGATGCATTTTTACGCCTAGTTCCCGCGCTCCAGGAAACCTTGCATTCTACCCCCGTCCAGCCCCCTCCCTCTTCAAAGTGCTCGCGGCCAGCCTTCCTCCCTGCAGAGTGTCCGTTCTGGGGCCAAAGCGCCTTCCCCTGGCAATCTGAGGGGTTTGGCTGAATGTGGAGACGGCGGGTGGGGGGGAAGACTCGGTCTGTCCCGCATGGCTTTGAGGGGATCCCCGTCCGTGATGACCCCATGGGGGTCACAGTTCCCTTCGGCCAGCTCCTGCGATAGGTGCACAGGAGATTGTGACGGAGGTGTTTGGTTTTGCTGGAGAGACACTGGAACTGCCAGGGGTGGGGTTGGCTGGCGGGGAACCGGCGCTCCTCGGATTTCGGAAGGGGAGAAGCAGCAGGTTTGTCACCGAGGACCAGGAAAAGATCATCATCGAGCCAAGATTTCTGATCTCTCGTCCCCTCGTCTCCCCCAGAATACGAGTCAGCTCCTGGCCTATAAAAGACCTCTTGATGGCCGCTGTCACTGAGACACTGAGTCTGAATGGGCTACGGGTGCCGGACAGGATTGTGGAGTGGTCAGGAGGCTATCGACTTCTCCAAGACCCAGGAGGCTGAAATCGGGGACAGCTAAGGACACTTGCGCAGGGGCCACCAACGTCTCTGGATCTCCCTCCAGTCCCGCGTGGCTGGAAATTAAAGGTAACCTTTCCGTGACGCTCTCGGGGAGTGGGGTGAAGTCCACGGTGATAGCTTCTCCCGAGCACTGCAAGGGCTCTTCCTGCTTGTCCGTCGCAGCCATCTGGTAGAATCCGGCTTCGGAGGGATTTGGTGGGTGCTGAAGGTACGTTGGGACACGGCTGGCGGGGGGCACCTCCTCGGGGGGGTCAAAGGAACAGTTTGTTTCTGAAGGCGTGCTGCACTCGTAGCCATGCCCGGATTCACTGGTGCTGCCGAGACTGCAGGCTGCGCTTTCAATGCTCAATGGATCTGCAGGGGATTGGGGGTGTAAGGAGGAGGGGAAAAATCCCAATTCATTCAATACCACTCATTAACTTGCATTTCATAAACTACCCTAAGCTTTTTCGTTCTGGTAGTTAAGCAATATAGATATGGCACTGGGCCAAGTTATCTGCGGGACCACATTAACAGTCCTTTGGGTCGGAGATGGAGAACACAATTCTTGTCCCTTTCCCTGAAACGTCTCAACAGTAGTAACTGTGAGAGGAATCTCGGACTCCTGGTAGACAATCACTTAAATATGAGCCAGCAGTGTGTTGCAGCAGCCAAAAAAGCCAACACAGTCCTAGGTTGCATTAACAGAGGGATAGAATCAAGATCACGTGAAGTGTTAATACCGCTTTATAATGCCTTGGTGAGGCCACACTTGGAATTCTGCATCCAATTTTGGTCTCCATGATGTAAAAAAGATGTGGAGACTCTAGAAAGAGTGCAGAGAACAGCCACAAAGATGGTTAAGGGCCTGGAGACTGAAACATTTGAAGGACAGTTGCAGGAACTGGGTTATCTAGTGTAGTGAAAAGAAGAACTGGGGTGACATGATAGCAGTCTTTCAATATCTAAGAGGCTGCCAAGAGGAAGAGGGGTGGGTGGGGTGTCAACCTATTTTATTATTTATTTATTTATTTATTAGTTCAATTTATATGCCGCCCTTCTCCGAAGACTTAGAGCAGCTTACAATGTACTTATAGCAATAGCCTTCATTCTTTTGTATATACCTGCTTATTAGGGCTTTTGGCCCCCCATAAGTGGTGTTTCTACAAAGTCAGCTGATTGCCCCCACAATCCAGCTCCTCAATTTACCTACCTCGGAAGGATGGAAGGCTGAGTCAAACTTGAGCCTGGTGAGATTTGAACTTGGACTAATTGCAGGCAGCTAAGTGCTACATAACAGCACTTAGTCCGCTGCACCACCAAGGCTCCTAAATTTTCCAAAGCAACTGAAGACCGTACAAGAAGCAATGGATGGAAACTAATATATTCAACCAAGAACTAAGGAGAAATTTCCTGACAGTGAGGACAAGTAATCAGTGGAACAACTTGCCTCCAGAAGTTGTAAATGCCCCAACATTGGAAGTTTATATATATATATATATATATATATATGTTTTTCTTCTAGCCAGGTTTTACTTGGTTCTGGGCTTTTTTCCTTTCTAACAGCTAGCAAGCTCTAACTGCTAGGTGGGAGACCTAAATAGATCCATTTCTAGCTCGTTTGCTTTCTTCAATAGGCCACACCCATATCTTATGTATCCTCCCTGTAAAGGTACAGTATCAATTTTCTTACTTCTTCATAGGGTTTATGTGTGTTTTTCTTCTAGCCAGGTTTTCCCTACGTAACCAAGGTTTTTTGTAGCTCCAGCTCAGTAGAATCACATCTACTCGGTTCTGGGCTTTTTTCCTTTCTAACAGCTAGCAAGCTCTAACTGCTAGGTGGGAGACCTAAATAGATCCATTTCTAGCTCGTTTGCTTTCTTCAGTAGGCCATACCCATATCTTATGTATCCTCCCTGTAAAGGTACAGTATCAATTTTCTTACTTCTTCGTAGGGTTTATGTGTTTTTTGTAGGTTACGTAGGGAAAACCTGGCTAGAAGAAAAACACACATAAACCCTACGAAGAAGTAAGAAAATGTAGAGAACACCAGCCTGAAGATGACGAATGAGACTTCGTCGAAACGTCGCCAAGACACTTCCAATTTTACGTGGGAGAAGACCCGAATAACCAAAGACCTACATACAAACACCCGCGAAAACCTGAGAAAACAAATATATAGATAGATAGATAGATAGATAGATAGATAGATATAGATAGATATAGATATATAGATATATATAGATATAGATATATATATAGCTACAGTGTTTTCCCGAAAATAAGCCCTCCCCAAAAAATATTTAAACGCACGTGCAGCCGGTCCCCACCATTTCCTCTGCTTAGAGTTAGGGAGACAGAGCTGGATGCATCCACACGCAGGACTAACCAACCCCGTTTACTGGGATCGAGAAGACGTGCAAACCTTGTAAAAACGTACCTGCCGTCTCCATTGTTAAATGATCTGGGTTGAAACAGGAGTCCAGGCAGCCAGCGGCCGACGCAATGGGCGGAGAGCTTCGCGCGCGGCTGGCGCTTTCCACTTCCCCGCCATCTAAAAAGTTATCCACGTAATCCCTACGGAGTTGGGAAGAGACGGAAGGAGACAAAAGAGGGGCAAACATGTCGGTGGTTTTTCCATATGAACAAAGCAGTCTTCAGGTAGTTCTCGACTTACGACCACAATTGACTCGCCCCAAATTTATGTTGTTAAGTGAGACATCAATGAAGCGAGCTTTGCCCCATTTTACGACCTTTCTTGCCACAGTTGTTAAGTGAATCACTGCAGTTAATAATAAGTTAGTAACACGGTGGTTAAGTGAATCTGGCTTCCCCCGTTGATTTTACTTGACAGAAGGTTCGTAAAAAGGGATTGCGTGACCTTGGGACGCAGAGACCGTCATAAATACGATCCAGCTGCCAAGCATCTGGATTTAGATCATGTTATTGTGCCTCTGCTGCGAAGATCGTAACTGTGAAAAACGGTCGGAAGTCACTTTTTTCAGTGCCGCTGTAGACTTTGAACGGTCACTAAACGAAGCGTTGTAAGTCGAGGACTACCTGTAGTTTTCAGAGTCTTCCACACTCTGCAATCCTAGGAGACTTTGTAGGATTAAACCAAAGATTAAAAATTTCCATCTATGGCCATTTGATGCCCCCACATCCTTGTCCTTTGGCTGTCTCTGTCTGGCATGAGGTCAATTGGAAATTAGAAATCAAATGCAAATCACAGCAGTGCTTAGACTTATATACCGCTTCACAGTGCTTTTACAGCCCTCTCTAAGCGGTTTACAGAGTCATCCTCTTGCCCCCAACAACCCGGGTCCTCATTCTACTGATCTCGGAAGGGTGGAAGGCTGAGCCAACCTTGAGCTGGTGAGGATCGAACTCCTGGCAGTGGGCAGAGCCACCCTGCAATAGTGCACTCTCACTACTGTGCCACCATGGTCCTTCCTTCCTTCCTTCCCTCCCTCCCTTCTTTCCTCATACTCCTTTCCTTTCTTTCTTTCTTTCTTTCTTTCTTTCTTTCTTTCTTTCTTTCTTTCTTTCTTTCTTTTTCTTTCTTTCCTTTTGTTTTGTTTTCTTTCCTCCCTCCTTTCCTTCCTTCTTCCCTCCTACTCCTTCCTTCCTCCTATTCTTTCCTTCCCTCCCTCTCTCCCTCCCTCCCGTTTAGTAACTTTAAAAGGTCACTAAACGGATGGTTGTAAATCAAGGACTACCTGTATTCTACCAAATTCTGACTTTACCAAGGATGTGGGTGTGTTAATTTCCAGCTTTCAAATGCCCATATGCAGATTTCTGGACTCAAGCCACCTAAGGATTAGGGTCAAAAGCTCTGGGCGCAATTCCATGGGGATTCAATGCTTCGCCAACTACGGCCAGTGGCACCAGACATTACTCTCTGGCCAGCAAGTGGCTTCAGGAGGTAGGACGTACTTCTTCCTTCCAAACCGCGTCTGTTGGGTGAAGTAGTCGTACCGCTCCGATTTCTTCCATATGTAATAGTATTCCACGCATTCGCCTACTGACCTGGTCCGGACCTACAAAAACCGGTAGAAGGGTGAAGCGTTATTTGAAAAGACGGGACAGCCACTTGTCTGAAATGGTCTAGGGCAGGGGTGAAATCCAGCAGGTTCTGGAGAACCGGTAGAGGAAAGTTTGAGCAGTTCGGAGAACCGGTAGCGGAAAGTTTGAGCAGTTCGGAGAACCGGTAGCGGAAATTTTGAGTCCATGGCTGACTGGGGAATTCTGGGAGTTGAAGGCCACAAGTCTTAAACTTGCCAATGTTGGGCAACCTTCGTCTAAATCAGGGGTCGGCAACCTTAAACACTCAAAGAGCCACAAAGGTCCTAACCGGAAGCCCCCCCCCCCATTCAATTCTGGAGCCGACCGGAAGTCTGGTTCCCCCACCATAGAGTCTCCTCCTAGACGGCGTCCTTTTTCTTCTACCTGTCCTAACCGAAAACCCTATCAATTGTGAAGCCGACTGGCGACAGGGAGCCACAGCAGAGGGATGAAAGAGCCACATGCGGCTCCAGAGCTGCGGGTTGCTGACCTCTGGTCTCTAAATTGTCATCATGATGCCCAAACTTGCCAGGCCCTGCAAGAAGGTAAGAAGGGGAGTCAGCCTCCTGCCACCTAGCCTTTTCCTCTGCACCTTTGCAATGGAGCCACAATCCTGCTTAGGATTCCCAGAGGACATTACAGGTACCTGGCTGGTTTTGAAAGTGGGTGACTTTAAAATTACCTTGTTGGCTTGAATAAGGTGGAAGTTTTTTCCATGCACCCGGAATCCATGTTCGAAGTTCCTGCATTCTTCTTCGCTCCAGGCACAGAGCTCATCTGTAAGGGGGAGAGAAGCAATCAGGAACAGAATGTCAGCCCTGCAAGATAGGCCAGGCCAGGTCAGGATATAAAGGCTACCAAAAATACTAGAATTCGACTTTATTGCTATAGGTTGTTAAGAGCAGAATCTTAAAGCCATAAAAAAAAGAATCAAAGTAGGACAAACAAGCTTTTTTCTCTTATTTTCTTGTCCTAAAGTCACATTTTACTGACAGTAGATGCAGTCTGTCTCTATGGTCGTCTTCGTACAAGTAGTTCTCGACTTAGAACAGGTTTTTTTAGTGACCGTTCAAAGTTACGTCGGCACTGATAGAAGTGACTTATGGCCATTGTTCACACAACTATTGCAGCCTCCCCAGGGTCACAGGATCAAAAATTCAGACACTTGGCAAGTGACTCCTATTGCAGTGCCCCGGGGATCACGTGATCCCCTTTTGCGACCTTCTGACAAGCAAAGTCAATGGGGAAGCTGGATTAATTTAACAAGAATTCATTAACTAATTTAACAGCTGCAGTGATTCACTTAACAACTGGGGCCAGAAAGGTGATCAAATGGGGGCAAAACTCACTTAACAACTGTCTCTCTTAGGAAAAGAAATTCTGGGTTTAACTGTGGCTCTACTAGAAAGAAAGAAAGAAAGAAAGAAAGAAAGAAAGAAAGAAAGAAAGAAAGAAAGAAAGAAAGAAAGAAGAAAGAAAGAAGAAAGAAGAAGAAAGGAGGGAGGGAGGAAGGAAAGAGGGAGGGAGGGTGGAAGGAAGGAAGGAAGGAAGGCAGGGAAAGAAAGAAAGAAAGGAGGGAGGGAGGAAGGAAAGAGGGAGGGAGGGTGGAAGGAAGGAAGGAAGGAAGGCAGGAAAGAAAGAAAGAAAGTAAGAAAGGAGGGAGGGTGGAAGGAAGGAAGGAAGGAAAGAAGGAAGGAAGGAAGGAAAGGAAGAAAGTAAGAAAGGAGGGAGGGAGGAAGGAAGGAAGTAAAGAAAGAAAGAAAAAGAAAGAAAGAGGGAGGATAGAAGAAGGATATACATATACATACATACATATATATCTTAGATAGGTAGGTAGGTAGGTAGGTATAGATTGAAAGATAGATAGATAGATAAGATAGATAGATAGATAATGAATGGATGATGGATGGATGGATGGATGGATAGATAGATAGATATCCTCTATAAAGAAAAATTATTTTTCCTAAACTTTTAGAAATTAGAGCACTCCATGTAGATATTTTTAAAGCTGTTCAATAACTGAGGCAGATTTTTTTTTTTTTTAATTAAAGGAGAAATATGCTTCAATCTCCAAGCACTGACAGATATTTTTATCTGCTCTTGCCGGATCGTTCTGCAACGAGATCCTGACTTTATTGGAAGTGACTGCATTTAATTGTTGCATCGATCGCTGATCCACGATTCTTTCTTTCAAGGCAGGAGACGTAGGACTACCTTGGAAACGCTCTGTTCTTTGACTTTCGCACAGAGCGCATGAGCTACGCAGGAACTGCTTAGCAAGACCTACTGAGAGGGAGAGGAGAGGGTACGAGAATTCTAGCAACCGGATTACAGCTAGTCCTCGATTTACGACAAGCCCAAAATGTCTGTTGTTAAGCGAGACGCTTGTTTAGTTTTGCCCCGTTTTACAACTTTTCTTGCCACAGTGGTTAAGTGAATCACTGCGGCTGTTAAGTTGGTAACACGGTTGTTGAGTGAATCCGGCTTCCCCAATGACTTTGCTTGTCAGAAGGTCACAAAAGGGGGGGATCATGTGACTCCAGGACACTGCAACCGTCGTAAATATGAGCCGGTTGCCCAGGGTTCTGAATTTTGATCACGTGATCATGGGGAGGCTGCAATGGTCGTAAATGTGTAAATCGGTCATAGGTCGTTCTTTTCAATACTGTTGTACCTTTCAACATTCACTAACTGTTTTAAGTACACGTAGTCCTCGATTTACAACAGTTTGCTTAGTGACCGTTTAAAGTTACAACGGCACTGAAAAAAGTGACTTATGATCATTTTTCACACTTATGACCGTTGCAGCATCCCCATAGTCATGTGATCTACATTCGGATGCTTGGCAACTGACTCACATTTATGACGATTGCAGTGTCCTAGGATCATGTGTTCCTCTTTTGCGACCTTCTGACGAGCAATGTTCATGGGGACACCATATTCATTTAACAACCGTGTTACTAATTTAACAACCGCAGCGATTCACTTAACAAAGGTGGCAAGTAAAGTCGTAAAAAATGATTAAATATTTAATTTGAGTAAATAATTTTATGGTACTACTCCCCATTAAAAAAGGGGGTGTTATTAGCTAGTTTTTAGAAAATGCACTTTTCCCAAAAGGTTTCCACAATTTTGGCCACTACTGTATAAGTCTTCTTGCTATTAAGGGACTGGAGGCTTAAACAAAGAATGGTTTCTGGAATTGGGAATTCTAGTGGGGTCAAAAAGGAGAACTAGGGGGTGACATGATAGCAGTGTTCCAAAGTTTGAGGGGCGGCCAGAAAGAAGAGGATGTCAAGCTATTGTTGTGGCCCGTCAGCGGCCTGTGAGGATTGTAGCTGATTGTGACAGCGAGGAGGCTGGTGTGGTGCTGGGCCAGCAGCCTGTGCAGCTGGCACTCGAGTCAGAGAGTGAGGAGGCTGGAGAAGATGTGGTGCCAGAGGCAGGGATTCAGCCAGGGCCTTCAGAACCTCCAGAAGCTCCTTTAAGTGAAGAGGATGAAGAGGAGGAGCCTCTTCTCGATGCATAGGCGCACAGAGCTGCCAAAAGGCAGGAGTGGCTCCTCAGGAGGAGGTCTCCTCGAGAGTAAGGCTTGGGGCTAATTGGCTACTCCCTTAGCCTATTTAAGGAAGGACGTTGACTGAAACAATTTGTAGGGAACAACTTTAGTTCATTCTCCTTTGCGTCTGGATTCTCTGCAAATTGCTTCTGGGCTTTCTGCCAACCTTAGTACGATTGTGATTACTTTATCTTTGGTTTCTCGTAGGCGGTTAAGAAAGTTTATTAACAGCCTTTGTTTTGAAAAAGACTGAGTTATTTTAGTAAATTAAGTTTTGTACAAACTTTGTGTGTGCTGCGTTCTTTGGGGTCCGTAGCTGAGGCAGAACAGCTATTCTCCAAAGCACCCGAGGGCAAGGCAGGACAAGAAGCAACGGATGGAAACTAATCGAGGGGAGAAGCAACCTAGAACTAAGGAGAAATTTCCTGACAGAACAATTCATCAGTGGAACGACTTGCCACCAGAAGTTGTGGGTGCTCCAACACTGGAAGTTTTTAAGAAGATGTTGGATAACCATTTGTCTGAAATGGTATAGGACCGTGATGGCGAACCTATGGCACGCCTGCCACAGGTGGCACACATAGCCATATCAGTGGGCATGAGAGCTCAGCTCCGGCGCTTCTTTCTGACCTGCTCCAGGGCCTCTCTAGGAGTCTGGGGAGGGCAAAAATGGCCTTCTCCACCTCCCCCCCCAGATGTCCTCTGCAGGCCGAAAACGGCCCGAAAATGGTCCCACCAGAAGTTATCAAATGGGCCGTTTTCGTCCTCTGGAGGTCCTCCAGGGAGATGGGGAAGGCCGTTTTCACCCTCCCCAGACTCCTAGAGAGGCCCTGGAGCCAGGTGAGAAAGAAAAACAGGCCTACCGGGCCATCGCGTGCCAGGAGCTGGGGGAGGGGTCGCACGCGCGCACACACATGGCACATAGAATTATGGGTGTGGCCATGTGCGCCCCCCCTCCTGGCACGTGATGGCAAAAAGATTAGCCATCACTGGTATAGGATTTCCTGCTTGAGCAGGGGGTTGGACTAGAAGACCTCCAAGGCCCCTTCCAACTCTGTTATTCTGTCATATAGAAGCTGGAAGAGGAAATGGATAGCTGGAAGGGGGGCGAGCTGCCTCCTCCTTTGCCCGCCCGGACCTCCGTCCTTCTCAGCCCTGCCTTCCGTGGGGGCTCCGGGGGCCCCGCGGTCGTCCAGCCGAGGGGAGCCTGGCACCAGCCTGCCAAGCGGAGTCCTCCTTCAGGCAGGGCAAGGCATCCCCTTTTGGGATAAATGGATTTCCTCTGAGCGGGATGAAGATGGAGAAACTGCCCGAGAGAGCGCTGGAAAGCACAATGGAGCCTGGATAGCTCAACAGACAGAGCTCTGTAATTTAACATCAGCTGTCTGCAATTAAAGTAAGATCGAATCTCGCCAAGCTCAAGGTCGACTCAGCCTTCCATCCTTTCTAAGGTAGGTAAATTGAGGACTCAGTTTGTGGGGGCAATAAACTGACTTTGTATAAATATAGAAAAGTATGAAGGCTATTGCTTAACGCACTGTAAGCTGCCCTGAGTCTCCAGAGAAGGACGGCATATAAATCAATTTTTTTTTAAAAAAATGTAAGTACGAATTGACGATGATTTAGAGCAGAGTGCTGCTGGCTGGGGGATTCTGGGAGTTGAAGTCCACCCATCTTCAAGCTACCAAGGTTGAGAAACACTGATTTAGAGGCTCTAAATCTAACACAAAGCATGGCTTGATAATGTGGCCAACATTCTCCATCTTAATCACTTTATCCTGGTTCGGATGACATCTCAGAGCTAAGTGTAATAAGGCTCCGTGAGATGTTCAAACCCTCCCTTAATTAATTCTTCATTAACTCTTGTCCCTGAATCCACCTGGATATTGGGGTTGTTAATCCAGCAGCCCTTCTCTTCACATTAAGGGCCGAGATTAAACTGGAGAGACCCAGGTTTAAAACTCCGCTCAGGGGTGAAATTGATCCATGGGTAACCTTTACCTTTAATCAACCTTTTTCTTTTCTTTTTTTCAATTCCCCTCCTCCCCCCACATTTCCTTTCTATTTCTTTTCCTTTTAAAGGAATAGGTGGTAGTCCTCTATTTACAACAGTTCATTTAATGACCATTCGAAGTTACAGCATCACTGAAAAAAGTGACTTACGTTGGTTTTTTTCCCCACACTATCATCATTGCAATATCCCCGTGGGACAGGTGATCAAAGTTCAGACGCTTGTCAACTGACTCATATTTATGACGGTTGCAGCGTCCCAGGTGATTCCCCTTCTGACAAAGACAATGGGGAAGCCGGATTCACTTAACAACCGCGTGACTAACTTGACGACGGCAGTGATTTGCTTAAGAACTATGGTAAGAAAGGTCGTAAAATGGGGGCAAAATTCACTTAACGAATGTCTCACTTTAGCAACAGAAATGTCGGGCTCCAATGTGGGCATAAGTCGAGGACTACCTGTACCAATAGTAGTGTTACCAAGGAGCCTTGGTAGTACAGTGGTTTAATGCACCCTGTTATTAACCCTGTTATTAACACAGCTGCCTGCAATTACTGTAAGTTCGAATCTCTCCAAGGCTCAAGGTTGACTCAGCCTTCCATCCTTTCTAAGGTAGGTGAAATGAGGACCCAGTTTGTGGGGGCAATAAACTGACTTTCTATAAATATACAAAAGTATGAAGGCTATTGCTTAACGCATTGTAAGCTGCCCTGAGTCTCCGGAGAAGGGCGGCATATAAATCAAATAAAAAAAAAATTTTAAAAAAATTATTTATTTATTTATTTAGCGTATGGCATAATGTACATGGACTAGCAATAGATATTAACATTTAATCCAGATTAACAGAACCCAATGCAAGTATAAATGCAAGCAACTATCAACTGCCTAGACAAATACAAATGTTCTTATAATATTAGTAACTAGAGATTTCTAGCTAAAACCCAGAGATACGTACAATATCAGACCTCCGGACTTTTCGTCGGGCCCTGAAAACTTATTTATTTCACCTAGCCGGGCTGGCTTGATCCCATAGTTTTGGTTAATTTTAATTGATTTTAATTGGGTTTGTTTTAAATTGTAGCCAAAAATATTTAATTATTTTTAAACTGTTTTTAAATTTTGTATGTTCTGTTTTATTCTGGCTGTTCACCGCTGTGAGTCCTGCTGGAGAAGGGCGGTATACAAATTAAAACAAATAAAATAAATAAAAATAAATAAAATGCCGCAGGAAACCGAGTTCTTTACATTTCAATAATCAATTCATGAGATAAGGAAATTCAAATTTGGTGGTATTTGCAAACACTTTGTTCATTTAGCGGCATTTTATTCTTTATCTACCAAGTCTCTTTACATCTTTTTTTTTTATTTCTTTTATGCTACTGTTCTTTAAATGTTGTAATAAGTACAGATAGTCCTCGACTTACGACCACAACGAAGCCCAAAATTTCTGTTGCTAAGCGAGACAGTTGCTAAGTGAGTTTTACTCCATTTTACAACCTTTCTTGCTGCCGTTGTTAAGTGAATCCCTGCAGCTGTTAAGTTATGAACACGAGTAGTTGAAGGAATCAGGCTTCCCCATTGACCAGGTTTGAAAAGGTGAGCTTGGGGAATCTGGAGGGGAGAGAGGTTTTTTCCCAAGTGGGACTACAGAACTTCTGCCAAACAACAGAAAGGAGAGAAAGAAGAGAAAGATAGAAAGAAGAGAAAGGATAGAAAGAAGAGAGAAAGAAGGAAGAGAAAGATAGAAAGAAGAGAAAGGATAGAAAGAAGAGAAAGATAGAAAGAAGAGAAAGATAGAAATAGAAAGAAGAGAAAGAAGAAGAGAAAGATAGAAAGAAGAGAAAGGATAGAAAGAAGAGAAAGGATAGAAAGAAGAGAAAATAGAAAGAAGAGAAAGATAGAAAGAAGAGAAAGGATAGAAAGAAGAGAAAGAAAGAAGAGAAATAGAAAGAAGAGAAAGGAGAGAAAGAAAGAAAGGTAGAAAGAAGAGAAATAGAAAGAAAGAAGAGAAAGATAGAAGAGAAGATAGAAAGAAAAGAAATATAGAAAGAAGAGAAAGGATAGAAAGAAGAGAAAGAAGAAGAGAAAGATAGAAAGGATAGAAAGAAGAGAAAGAAAGAAGAGAAAGAGATAAGAGAAAGGATAGAAAGAAGAGAAAGATAGAAAGAAGAGAAAGGATAGAAGAAGAGAAAGAAAGAAGAGAAAGGAGAAAGAAGAGAAAAGAAAGAAGAGAAAGGTAGAAAGAAGAGAAAGGTAGAAAGAAGAGAAAGGATAGAAAGAAGAGAAAGGATAGAAAGAAAAGAAAGATAGAAAGAAGAGAAAGGATAGAAAGAAGAGAAATATAGAAAGAAGAGAAAGGATAGAAAGAAGAGAAATATAGAAAGAAGAGAAAGATAGAAAGAAGAGAAAGAAAGAAGAGAAAGATAGAAAGGATAGAAAGAAGAGAAAGAAAGAAGAGAAAGATAGAAAGAAGAGAAAGGATAGAAAGAAGAGAAAGAAAGAAGAGAAAGATAGAAAGAAGAGAAAGATAGAAAGAAGAGAAAGGATAGAAAGAACTGCCTTCTGACTCACCTCGAATGACCTTCACGTTGAACCGGAGTCGCCGCAAAGCTTCTTCTGCATTGAAGTTACATTTCACCAATTCGTAGAGGGCCTGTGGGAGACAGAAGCGCACAGGGAGGCGGATGATCAGAAAAGCAGCTTTGGCTACGGGGACAAGAAAGAGGAACCTGAGCAGGGAAAAGGGATGGGAAGAAGAAGCGAGACCTTGTCACTGTCACCGTGCACAAAAACTATGGGATAACAATGGCTGAGGAGGGACCCAGCTCAGCTGCAGCGCATTGTGAAGCAACGTGTGCAAGAAAACAACCAAGTTCAGGGAGCATCAAGGACCTCACAGTCGTTCTCCTCCATGTTCTCCTTTCCCTCTTCTCCACTCCCTCCTCCTCTCCTTCTCCATGTTCTCCATCTCCTCCTCCTCCATGTCCTCCTTCTCCACCACCATCTCCTCCTCTCCATGTCCACCTCCTCCTCCCCCATGTCCTCCTTCTCCACCACCTCCTCCTCTTCTCCATGTCCTTCACCACCTCCTCTCCTTCTCCATGTCCTCCTTCTCCACCACCTCCTCCTCCTCTCCATGTCCTCCTTTTTCACCTCCTCCTCCTCCATGCCCTGCTTCTCCACCACTACCTACTCCTCCTTTCCATGTTCTCTACCACCTCCTCTCCTCCTCCATGTCCTCCTTCTCCACCACTTCTCCATGTCCTTCACCACCTCTTCTCCTTCTCCATGTCCTCCTTCTCCACCACCTCCTCCTCCTCTCCATGTCCTCCTCCTCCTCCATGTTCTCCACCTCCTCCATGTCCTCCTTCTCTACTACCTCCTCCTCTTCTCCATGTCCTCCACCACTTTCCTCTCCTTCTCCATGTCCTCCTTCTCCACCACCTCCTCCTCCTCTCCATGTCCTCCACCTCCCCCTCTTCTCCTCCATGTCCTCCTTTTTCCCCTCCTCCTCCATGCCCTGCTTCTCCACCACCCCCTCCTCCTCTCCATGTCCTCCTCCATGTCCTCCACCTCCTCCACCTCCTTCTCCACCATCACCTCCACCTCTCCATGTCTTCCTCCTCCTCCATGTTCTCCACCTCCTCCTCCATGTCCTCCTTCTCCACCTCCTCACTTCCTCCTCCATGTTCTCCACCTCCTTCTCGTCCTCTCCATGTCGTCCTCCATGTCTTCCACCTCCTCCTCCTCCACCACCTCCCATTCCCTTCTAGCACTGATATCTTTGGGTAATGAAACATCTGCACGAAAACAAGCAAGCTGAGAGAGCACCATTGGCATCGTGATACTCGATGCTGAAGACCTTGACATGGCTTGGAAACATCCTTCTCTCCAAGAGAAGGGAATATATGTAGCTCAGGGTTAATCTGTGCAGTCCTTGGTGCTCTCTGAACTAGTTTATCTTTTTTTTTTGTTCTTTCCACTACCCAACTAGGTTAACATCTTCCCCAGCCAAGCACCTGCCAACTTTAGCATCCAGTAGCTAAAGCTTTGTCTGACCTGGGCATGTCTTTTGCACAAAGAAGTTAAGTTAAGAATCACTGTTAGGGCCGAAACACTTTTGCAAACAGGCTAATCTATTTTTTTGGGGGGGGGAGTTGTTGCCCTAGTATCCTTCTCTGCTGAGGGGAGGTTTGAGGTGGCATCAGAATTTTTAAATTACCGTGTTTTTCAGAGTATAAGACACACCTTTTTTCCCCTCTAAGAGGGTGAAAATTTGGATGCGTCTTATACACCGAATGTAGCCAAAAACATGAGGCACAGAGGAGGCAATGGTCTATGGCAATCCCTGTACCCTGGACCAGCTGATTGGGGTATTCCGGGAGGCCGATCCACCCACCAATCAGCTGCTCGTGTTGAATCAGGCTGCAATAATGTCCTGAAGCTGACTTGGCTGTTCGCTATTTGCTGCAAGGAGTCTCAGAGTTTGCAGCAGCAAGCAAAACACAAGCAGAGGAGAGGAGTTTCAGTTTCAGTTTCAGAGATCAGCACAACATGCAGCTTTAGAACAATTGACCTAAGCCATGCCCAGGCTCCTTGCTGTTTCCTTCCTTGTTGCTCACATAGCAAATACTGTTTCAGTTTCCAAACAGTCTCACACACTGACAGGACGCTAGCCAGATGAATACCGATGGATGCTGGTAGGCAGAGGCAGATTTTTTTTTTCTTATTTTCCTCCCCCAAAACTAAGGTGCGTCTTATACTCCGGAGCGTCTTATACTCCAAAAAATACAGCAACTCATTAATTAATCTTCCTACCGTTCATAAGCATCTTCCTTGCAGCAATCTCACTCGTGATGGGGGAGCCTTAGCCACACAGAACTCACTTGTTCGTTATCCTTCACCATCTCTCCTTCAGGAAGCCTGGCGTTGGAGACTTCATCCCATCTCCTCTTGATAGCTCGGAAGAGGAATTCTTCCACCTCCCTCTCCGGAAGGATGTTTGGATCCCACAGCAACTGGTCATCATTTTCATAGACTAGGTGAAAAAAGAAAGAGTGAGTGAGTGTGAGAGAGAGAGAGACAGAGAGAAAGAGAGAGACTAAACCCAGAGTTTAGTGTGATGGTTAAAGTCCTGGCCTAGAAACCAGGAGATTGTGATTTCTAGTCCCACTTTAAGTATGAAAGCCGGCTGGGTGATGTCGGGCCAATCACAAGAGGTGATTGAGATCTAGTTCCACCATAGGCATGAAAATTGGCTGGATGATTTTAGGATCAATTACCAGGAGACGATGAATTCTAATCGCAGCTTAGGTATAGAAGCAGACTGGGAGACTTTGGGCCAATCACCAGGAGATTGCAAGCTCTAGTCCTGCCTTAGGCATGAAAGCCAATTGGGTGACTTTGGGCCAATCACCAGGAGACAATGAGTTTTAGTCCCGCCTTAGGCATGAAAGCCAACTGGGTGACTTTGGGCCAATCACCAGGAGACGTGAGTTCTAGTCCCGCCTTAGGCATGAAAGCAACTGGGTGACTTTGGGCCAATCACCAGGAGACGGTGAGTTCTAGTCCCACCTTAGGCATGAAAGCAACTGGGTGACTTTGGGCCAATCACCAGGAAACGGTGAGTTCTAGTCCCACCTTAGGCATGAAAGCAACTGGGTGACTTTGGGCCAATCACCAGGAGACGGTGAGTTCTAGTCCCACCTTAGGCATGAAAGCAACTGGGTGACTTTGGGCCAATCACCAGGAGACGGTGAGTTCTAGTCCCACCTTAGGCATGAAAGACAGCTGGGTGACTTTAGGCCAATCACCAGGAGACGGTGAGTTCTAGTCCCACCTTAGGCATGAAAGACAGCTGGGTGACTTTAGGCCAACTAACCAGGAGACTATGAATTCTAATCCCACTTTAGGCATAAAAACTGGCTGGGAGTGACTTTGGGCCAGTCCTTCTCTCTTAGCCCAACCCATCTCACAGGATTGTTGTGGGGAAAACAGGAGGAGGACGGAGTATTAAATATGCTTGCTGCCTTGAGTTATTTATAAGGTAAAAAAGGAGGGGTAAAAGTCTAATAAATAAGGAAATAAGCAAGCAAGCAATTTCTCCATTCCCATTACAAGGAATCTAGGAAACTGGGCTCAACCAAACTCACTCCTAGGCCCTGGTTGCACACATGACAATTGTGAGACCAACGTTCTGGTTGCACCCATCACAATTGTGTGACAAATGTTCAGCATTTTAACTCTGAGGTGAGAACCTCAATGAAAAACTCAAATACTGTAGGAGATTTGTGAAGAAGAAGACAAGGTGTTCAAGCAACAAGGCTTGTTCTTTTCATTGTCTGCAAAACACGACAAATTTTCACTTTTTTTCCCCCCAGGGGCTATTTCTTTGTTTTTCCAAAACTCCGAAATCCTCAACTGGTATTGTCCAAGGACAGCCCGATTTGCACAGCTCCTGGCCCTGAAGGTTAACTTCTAGAATGAGAAGATTAAAGACACCCATACAGCACTGCCGAAGGCTAAAACAACAAGGCTCCTCAGGAGAAAAATTGCTCACCTTTTTCGCCCTGCCGGTTCAAGTCCAAGAGAGGGACAATGGCCTGGTACTGAGGTCCCACCATGATCTCCTAAAAGGGGGGGGGAGTAAAATGTGTAGATATTATAAGCGGAAGGACGCCATCTTTGAGAGCAGAATGGCTAAATTCCATCTGCAAAAGGGATACTTGTTTCCTTGACTGAAATCTCTGCCTAAGAAGCTTCAAGGATACAGATAATCCTCAATTTACAACCCCAATTGAGCTCCAAATTTCTTTCTTTTTTTTTTTTGCAGTTTTTTTAATACAATTTTTAAAACACACAGACAAACATACAATACATCTTTTCGGAACACAGCATTGATCCGGTCATAAGTTTGTTCAGCTTTTTGTTTCATTTTTAACACAATTTTGTATGTTCTATTTTTGCCATAACATTTATTTCTTAATCTTGGCTCACATATCTCAACTATTACCATCTTATAGTAAGCTTACTCATATTAAGATAATCAAAACTATTACCCTTCTATTAATCCACCTTAAATCTTAATTCAAATAATACCTCATAATACATTTCACAATTCTTACCCTAAATTCTCACTATTAACAGTACAGTTCAAACATATTTATGTTTCTGAATCTTATTTCGATTTCTAAAACTTCCCTACATTTTATTATTACTTCATATACTATTCATTAATTCTTGATTTGATTATTACTTCATCAAATTTAAATCTTATCTCTGATCTTAAAAATATACCAATTGAGCTCCAAATTCCTGTTGCTAAGCAAGGCAATTGTTAAACAAGCCTCGTCCCCTTTTTTTTTTTAATTTGATTTATATGCCGCCCTTCTCCGGAGACTCAGGGCGGCTTACAATGCGTTAAGCAAGAGCCTTCATCCTTTTGTATATTTATACAAAGTCACCTTATTGCCTCCACAACTGGGTCCTCAATTTACCTACCTTAGAAAGGATGGAAGGCTGAGTCAACCTTGAGCCTGGCGAGATTCAAACCTGCAGTAATTGCAGGCAGCTGGTCTTAATAACATTTTAACATTTTAGGACCTTTGTTGCCACAGCTGTTGCGCAAATCACTGCAGTTGTTCAGGGAATCATGTAGTTTTTAAGCGAATCTGGTGTCAACCGTGAAGTGGCCTAACTGTGGCCATTTGCTGCCCTTGTAGCCTTTCCTATGAGAGTTTTAGTTTTCACATTGCTGCAGGGCTGACACAGCCTGGAGCTGAGGGGCAGGGATGGGGGGTATAGAGCAGTGGTGGGATTCAGCCGGTTCTCTCCGGATCACACAAACCGGTAGCAGCGACTGCGGGAGGCTCCGCTCACACGTAATGCACGACTATTGTGTGTGTGCAGAAGGCCGTGCGCATGTGCAGAGATGGCGCGTGCGCTCACATTTGAGGACTGGTAGGGAAGGTAAGTGAATCCCACCTCTGGTAGAGATAGCTGGGGTGCTGTAGCCAAAATAAAATTCTTTCCCCTGGGAATCAAGGACATTTCTGCAGGTGTTCAGAAGGTGGAGACTGAGGTCACCTAGCAACTGGACTGTATGCTGATTGGATCATGTGACTGGTGACTTATTTGAATTGGATGCAAAACCGGCGGGAACTTAAGAGCTGGTTTTCCACCAAGCTTGTGCCAATATGATATGTCCCAATAAAATGTTCTTTGAGGACATTTTTTTTTGGGGGGGGGGACAAACTTATTTGAATTGGATGCAAAACTGGCGGGAATTTAAGAGCTGGTTTTCCACCAAGCTTGTGCCAGTATGATATGTCCCAATAAAATGTTCTTTGAGGAATATGCCTGCCTCTGAGTTCTTATTGTTGGGGATGTATTACTTGGAACCTGTTGTGGCCCGCCAGCGGATCTGGAAGCAGATTCGGACAGTGAGGAGGTTGGGGAGGAACATGGGCCAGTCCTGGAGTCTGAGGATGGATCTGATGAGGGCTCTGTGTCGGAGGCAGAGATGGGACCAGGACCGTCTGACAGTTATCAACTGCCTTTGCAGTCAGACATCAGTGAGGCAGACAAACAGTTGGAGCCTGTTCCCAGTGTGCGCATGCGCAGAGCTGCCAGACGAAGGGAACAGCTAAGGAACAAGGGTCGACTCAGGAGTAAAGCCACAGGTGGACAGTGAATGGGCCCCTCCCAGAGGGAATAAAAGGGGAGCAAAAGGGGAGGGGAATTTGCAGGAGACACATTAGTTCATTACTTCGTTCTTGCCAAGTATTGTGGAGTCTGAAAGATATCGGCCTGGCCACTCTCCAAGCCTGATAAAGGTCGGTCATTGTGAACTATCTTGAAAGACTTTGCTGGAGAGGAATTCACTGTCAATTAAATAAAAGTGGTTTATCGGGACGAGGACTTGGCTTCGTGCTGCAGGGGAAGCTTAGGTCAGGACAGAACCTTGACATCTGGCTTCTCCCACTGACTTTGCTTGTTGGAAGCTGGCTAGGAAGGTCGCAAATGGCGATCAGGTGACCTTGGGACAGTACAACCGTCATAAATTCATGCCAGTTGCCAAGCGGCCGAATTTGGATCACGTGACCACGAGGAGGCTGCAACGGTCGTAAGGGTGAAAAACGGCTGTAAGTCACTTTTTCAAGTCTAAGTCAACACTGAGCCTGGTGAGATTTGAACTACCAAATTGCAGTCAGCCGGCAGTCAGCAGAGGTAGCCTGCAGTACCGCACTCTAACCACTACACCAATGCAGCTCATAGTTAGAATGCAATATTGCAGGCTATTTCTGCCGACTGCCAGCAGTTTGGCAGTTCGAATCTCACCTGGCTCAAGGTTGACTCAGCAGCCTTCCATCCTTCTGAGGTCTGTAAAATGAGGACCCAGATTGTTGGGGGCAAGATGCTGACTCTGTAAAACTGCTTAGAGAGGGCTGTGAAGCACTGTGAAGCGGTATATAAGTCTAAGTGTTATTCCTATTGCTATTCTGACGAGCAAAGTCACTGGAGAAGCCAGATTCACTTAATGACCATGTTACTATCTTAACAACTGCAGTGGTTCACTTAACAACTGAGGCAAGAAAGGTTGTAAAATGGGGCAAAATTCACTTAACAAATGTCTCACTTAATAACAGAAATTTTGGGCTGAATTGTGGTCGGACGTCGAGGACTACCTGTAATACAGACTTCCAACCCTAACCATAGTCAGAAGTCACCTCACTCTGAAAAGGGGAACTTAAATCATGTGATATCACTTGCACGATTTCCACTGTGACCATCCATGAATAGAATAGAAATAGAAATAGAAATAGAATAGAATAGAATAACAGAGTTGGAAGGGACCTTGGAGGTCTTCTAGTCCAACCCCCTGCTTAGGCAGGAAACCCTACACCACTTCAGACAAATGGTTGTCCAATCTCTTCTCAAAAACTTCCAGTGTTGGAGCATTCACAACTTCTGGAGGCAAGTTGGGACCGCCTACTACCATCAACAGACTCCCACCGACCAGTACGCTCCCACAGAGAGGGGCTCCTCCAGGTGCCGTCGGCCAAACAATGTCGGCTGTCGGCCCCTAGGGGGAGAGCCTTCTCTGTGGGGGCACCGACGATCTGGAATGAGCTCCCCCCAGAGATACGGAGGATTCCGGATCTGCGCACCTTCCGCCGCGAGTTGAAGACGCTTTTATTTCATCAAGCTGGCCTCGCCTAAATCTTCTCCCTTTTAAGTGTCAATTCTAAATTTTTAATGGATTTTAAAATATGGGTATTTTAAATTGGGTATTAATTCAGCCAAATTTATTTAATTCATTTTATTCGATTTTAAATTTTGTATATCTATGTGTTTTATTTCATGGCTGTGCACCGCCCCGAGTCCTTCGGGAGTAGGGCGGTATAGAAATTCAATAAAAGAAAGAAAGAAAGAAAGAAAGTTGTTCCACTGATTAATTGTTCTAATTGTCAGGAAATTTCTCCTGTCTCTTTTACAGCTTCCTTCTGAGCTACCTGGGGATACCTGGCTGTCAGGAACAGAGACAGATGGGTCTCTTAAGCCAATTTCTGCTGGCTCCTGAAAACACCAACAGCTTGAGCCTCAAATCTTCTGCGTGGAGTCTAAGCCAGAAAGCAGAATTTGCTGGGCGCCTGTGCTAATGAGGGAGGACAATTATGGGATGCCAAAGCCTTACCTTCTTGCAGTCATTAGGAGCGATGGAATCTTCTTCGGAGTCTTCAGCTGAGAAGGAAGCACAAGGGGAGGAACAAGGAGCCTTGTCTCCATCTGCCACAAAATTAGCTTCGGGGGAAAGAAAAGACAAATGACCTCTTTCCGATTTAAATTGAGAAAATTGGTTTTTTGGGGGGTGGGGGTGGGGTCCTTGGTGGTCTCTGAGCTTGGTTGCTTTTTTTTTTTTTTTTTATACAGATGTTTCATGACCCAACTAGGGTCATGAAGCGAGTGGGGTTTGCTGAGAGCATGGGAGCTGAGAACAAATCTTACTGCTTTCTAGCACTGATGATGTTACCTAATTGGGTTATGAGACGTCTGCAGGAAAACAACCAAGCTCAGAGACCACCAAGGACCTCACAGTTCAGCCCTGAGCTACACATTCGGTTTTGTCAACAATAAAGCAGAGAACAAGCAGAGGACACTTAACAACTGTTCTAAAGCCGATTAGCACAATTTGGAGTCAAACTGGATAATTATTTTGTCTACCGATGAAGTCACAAATATCGACTCTCTTTAGGTAGATATTATCTCTTTTTTTTAAAATCTTGATTTAGTCAATTTGCAACTTGATGTTTCTTCCAATAACTTTCACCCTTGATTCTGTAACAGTTCTATAGCTAACTGTATTTATGGTACAGTTTTTATGTTTTAATATTTTACTTGCAGATTGCACACAGAGTTGCTTTGGGAAGGAAATGGGCTGTTTTTAACACATGCACACATAAACACACACAGCACACACACAAAACTGTAAGCAGCTGTAATATTTTCTGCTACATCCTAGAACTGTGATGGTGAACACGTGCTACAGGTTGCACGCAGAGCCATATCTCAGCTCCAGCGCACATGCGCGCCCTGGCCAGCTGATTTTTGGGCCTTCCAGGCCCACTGGATATCAGGAGGCCGTTTTTGTCCTCCCCAGGCTCTTAGAAAGGCTCTGGAGCCTGGGGAGGGCGAAAAATGGACCTTCCGGTCCCACCGTGTGCCAATAGCGGGGGTCGCGGTGTGTGTGTGTGTGTGTGTGTTGCACTCACATGCGTGGGGGGGCGGGGCACATTGAATTATGGGCGCCGGCATGCATGTGTGTGACCCCCCCTGCGTTTCCCCCGCTTTTGGCACACGATGGCAAAAAGGTTAGCCCTCACTGTCCTAGAATATAGAATATTCTACATACAGACGTATATTGAATTAACACTATAAAAAGGCAGATGAAGAAGTATATATCCAAAGCGTTCATCGTTTTTCTTTTATTAAAAAAAAAAGAGTATGCATCCCACTTTTAAAGCTTCCTCAACCCCAAATTTGCAAATTGTAGTTTTGGACTACAATTCCCATCCAACCGGCCACACAGGTTGGATATTCCTTGGAAAAGTGGTCCAATTCAGAAAACTTCGTCAGCGCCGTTTCTGTCAATGTTCTGCAATCTGGGTGACTTTCTTTCTATTACGTCTCATCCGTTACACATCTATAGGAGCACTTGGTTTGAAGCCTGCATATTACAGGTCTTTTCTCTCAAAGTACAGGAAGTCCTCGACTTACGACAGTTTGTTTAGTGACCGTTCAAAGTTACAACGGTGCTGAAAAAAAAAAAGGGACTTGTGGCTGTTTCCCACACTTACGTCCATCGCAGCATCCCCCAATGGTCACATGATCAAATTTCAGCTGCTTGACAACTGGTTCATATTTATGACGGTTGAAGTATCCCGGGGTCATGTTATATCCCCTTTGGTGACCTTCTGACAAGCAAAGTCAATGGGGGGAAGCCAGATTTACTTAACAAGAGTGTTACAAGAGCCACGGTGGCCCAGTGGTTAGAATGCAGTACTGCAGGCTACTTTTGCTGACTGCCAGCTGCCTGCAGTTTGGCAGTTTGATCCTGACCAGCTCAAGGTTGACTCAGCCTTCCGTCCTTCCGAGGTGGGTAAAATGAGGACCCAGATTGTTGGGGGCAAGAGGCTGACTCTGTATACCGCTTAAAGAGGGCTGTAAAGCACTGTGAAGTGGTATATAAGTCTCCTTCCTTCCTCTCTCAAGAGTCCTGGTGGCACAGTGGTAAGAATGCAGCATTGCAGGCTGATTCTGCCCACTGCTAGCAGTTTGATCCTGACCGGCTCAAGGTTAACTCAGCCTTCCATCCTTCCGAGGTGAGTAAAATGAGGACCCGGATTGTTGGAAGGGCAAGAGGCTGACTCTGTAAACCGCTTAGAGAGGGCTGTAAAGCACTGTAAAGCGGTATATAAGTCTCCTTCCTTCCTTCCTTTCCTCTCTCAAGAGTCCTGGTGGCACGGTGGTAAGAATGCAGCATTGCAGGCTGATTCTGCCCACTGCTAGCAGTTTGATCCTGCACTACCTGCCTCTGTGGTCTCTTCCCCAAACCCCCCATAACTTTAACCTTAAACTGTCTACTGTTGACCTCAGCCCATTCCTAAGAGGTCTGTAAGGGGCGTGCATAAGTGCACCAGCGTGCCTACTGTCCCTGTCCTAATATTCCTTTTTTACTTGCTCTTTTCATGTATCCAATCCATGTTTATACTTTTTTTTTTTAATTTGATTTATATGCCGCCCTTCTCCGGAGACTCAGGGCGGCTTACAATGCGCTAAGCAATAGCCTTCATTCTTTTATATATTTATACAAAGTCAGCTTATTGCCCCCACAAACTGGGTCCTCAATTTACCTACCTTAGAAAGGATGGAAGGCTGAGTCAACCTTGAGCCTGGTGAGATTTGAACTTGCAGTAATTGCAGGCAGCTGGTCTTAATAACAGGGTGCTTTAGACCCTGTTATACTTTATACTTATTACCTAATATGTTCTTGACAAATAAATAAATAAATAAATAAATAAATAAATAAATAAATAAATAAATCGTGAGTATCTTGAGGGTCATTTGATCCCCTTTTGCGACCGTCTGACAAGCAAATTTAATGGGGGAAGCCAGATTTACTTAACAACCGTGTTACTTCCTTAGCAGTTGCAGTGATTCACTTAACAATCGTGGTGGCAAGAAAGGTCATACAATGGAGCAACGGAACAAATGTTTCGCTTAGCAACGAAAATTTTGCTTGTTGGAAGCTAGCTGGGAAGGTTGCCAGTGACGTCTGGACAGTGCAACTGTCCTAATTACGGATAAATACGGATGAGGAGCAAAACGTCTTCAAAGAAAAGCGAAGGAAGTCCAGTTGCCTCTTGAAAAAGCACCTTACGTGAGCGTTGAGTTTTGTATTGCTTGTGTATTTTGTTACCTGTCCAGGATTTCTTTTATATAAGGTATAAATCTGTATGGAGATTCTCAGCCATCCAGGTCATGGTTGTCCGGAAGGTGCTTTTTTCAAGAGGCAACTGGACTTTCTGGTTTTTCTTTGAAGATGTTTCGCTTCTCCTCCAAGAAGCCTCTTCAGCTCTGACTGGATTGGGGTGGGGGTGGGGAAACGGAAGGATTTATATCCCTTTGCAGACAGTTGGTCATTTGCATCGTTTTAGAGAATCAGTGAGGCCACTTGGAGGTTTATCTGTGTCTTCAGGGTCATCTGAGTGGTAGACTGGATACAGATGTCTACCCCAGACCACCCCAACGATGCCCTTGAAGTAATGTCCCAGTGCCTGGAGGCCGTACGGATCTGGATGGGGAGAAACAGGCTCAGGCTCAACCCATCCAAGACTGAGTGGCTGTGGTTTCCGACGTCCCGATATAGTCAGCTGGTGCCATTGCTGACTATTGGGGGCGAATCATTGGCCCCCACGGAGAGGGCTCGCAACTTGGGTGTCCTCCTGGACTCACGGCTGTCTTTAGAAGAGCATTTGACGGCTGTGACCGGGAGGATTTTTCATCAGGTTCGCCTAATTCGCCAGTTGCGTCCCTTTCTAGATCGGGACTCCTTACCACGGTCACTTATGCCCTCGTCACCTCCCGTCTGGACTATTGTAACGCTCTCTACATGGGGCTCCCCTTGAGGAGCACTCGGAGGCTCCAACTGGCGCAGAGTGCGGCTGCGCGGGTGGTGACGGGAGCGACGTGGCGCTCCCATGTAACACCTCTCCTGCGCGAGCTGCACTGGCTCCCGGTGGTCTTCCGGATGCGCTTCAAGGTTTTGGTTATCACCTTTAGAGCGCTCCATGGCTTAGGACCTGGTTATTTACAGGACCGCCTGCTACCACCAACCCCCTCCCACCGACCAGTACGCTCCCATAGACAGGGGCTCCTCCGGGTGCCGTCGGCCAAACAATGTCGACTGGTGGCCCCCAGGGGGAGGGCCTTCTCTGTGGGGGCACCTACTATCTGGAACGAGCTCCCACCGGAGATACGGAGGATCCCGGATCTGCGTACCTTCCGTCGCACGCTCAAGACCTTCCTATTTCATCAAGCCGGCCTGACCTAAGTCTTTCCCCTTTTTAAATGGAAATTTTAAATCTGGTTTTAAATTATTGGGGTTTTAAATTTGTTCAGCCAAATTATTTAATTCGTTTTAATCTATTTTAAATTTTGTATTTATATGTTTTATTCCATGGCTGTTCACCGCCCTGAGTCCTTCGGGAGTAGGGCGGTATACAAATTCAATAAAATAAAATAAAAATAAAAAAAGATGTCGTATCCCACCCCTCTGTTGAGAGAGGGCTGTTCAGTTTTGACATAATGGCCTCTTCGATCCCTCTTTCAAACCAATCTCCAGATGGCCTCAACAACTCTCTAAAAAGGATGCAAATGACCAGCTGTCTGCAAGGAGTATCAATCCTTCCGTTCCCCACCATCCAGTCAGAGCTGAAGAAGCTTCTTGGATGAGAAGCGACACATCTTCAAAAGAAAAAAACCAGAAAGTCCAGTTGCCTCTTGAAAAAAGCACTTTTGTAACATATAAAATTTTCAGGTTAAAAAAAAAATCACAGCTGAAAGGAAAAAAAGATTTGTTTTTTTGGCTGAAGTAGAAACGAAACGGGAGGCATGCTGGAGACGTAAAGACGATTAATCCCAGGAAAGACGGAAATGGCCAATTTAGGCGAGATCATGAAGGGTAAGGATATTTCTATGACAACTGGGATCAGAAGAGTGAAAGCAATGGGTCTCCCTAGGAGCAACGCGTGGCTGCGAAAGCTGGACATTTAAGAAAGAATTAGAGGAGAAAGAAGACAGAACATCTCTGAATTATGGGTTACTAAGTTACCATGGACTTCAAGAAGAGTCAATCAATGGGGCCAAGAGGAAATAAAGGCTGACCGTTATCCTGAGGAGACAATTAGCAAGCAGAATCTCACATATTATGGACATGTGATGCGAGCAGATAACAGAAATTCTGCATCCAGATGTTGAGACTCTAGAAAGAGTGCAGAGAAGAGCAACAAAGATGCTTAGGGGACTGGAGGCTAAAACATATGAAGAACGGTTGCAGGAACTGAGAATGGCTAGTTTAATGAAAAGAAGGACTAGGGGAGACAGGATAGGAGTCTACCAATATCTCAGGGGCTGCCTCAAAGAAGAGGGAGTCAAGCTATTCTCCAAAGCACCTGAAGGCAGGACAAGAAGCAACGGGTGGAAACTAATCAAGGAGAGAAGCAACTTAGAACTATGGAGAAATTTCCTAACAGTGAGGACAATTAATCACTGGAACAACTTGCCTCCAGAAGTTGTGAACGCTCCAACACCGGAAGTTTTAAAGAAGATGTTGGATAACCATTTGTCTGAAGTGGTGTAGGATTTCCTGCCTAAGCAGGGGGTTGGACTAGAAGACCTCCAAGGTCCCTTCCAACTCTGTTATTCTGTTCTGTTCTGTTCTGTTCTGTTCTGTTCTGTTCTGTTCTATTCTATTCTATTCTATTCTATTCTATTCTATTCTATTCTATTTTCTATTCTTTCTATTCTATTCTATCTATTCTATTCTATTCTATTCTATTCTATTCTATTCTATTCTATTCTCTTCAACAGAGTTGGAAGGGACTTTGGAGGTCTTCTAGTCCAACTGCCAGCTCAAGAAGGAGACCTTACCATTCCAGATAAGCGCCTGTCCAATCTCTTCTTAAAAACCTCCAGTGTTGGAGCACCCATAACTTCTGGAGGAAAGCCATCCCACTGAGTAGTTAGCTTCCACCCATTGCTTCTTCAGGTCCTTTGGAGAACAGGCTGACCTCCTCTCCTTTGTGGCAGCCCCTTAGATATTGGGTGGGTTAGAAAAATACAGCGGTGATTGACATGCTTGAATGAAGGAGAAAGAAGGAAGGGCAAGACACTAAATAAGATGGATGAAGAAGATCAGAGATTTCTCTGGAACGTTTTCCTGTCGTTGAGTGAGACAGTTGTTAAGTGAGTTTTGCGACTTGTCTTGCCACAGTTGTTAAGTGAATCAGTGCAGTTGAGAAGTGAGTAACCTGATTGTTAAGCGAATAGAATAATAGAATAGAATAATAGAATAGAATAAAAAGAGAATAAGAATAGAATAGAATAATAGAATAGAATAGAATAAGAATAGAATAGAATAGAATAATAGAATAGAATAAGAATAGAATAGAAAATAGAATAATAGAATAGAATAAAAATAGAATAAGAATAGAATAGAATAAGAATAGAATAGAATAATAGAATAGAATAATAGAATAGAATAAAAATAGAAAATGAATAGAATAGAATAGAAAAAAGAATAGAATAGAAAATAGAATAGAATAGAAAATAGAATAGAATAGAATAATAGAATAGAATAAAAATAGAAAATGAATAGAATAGAAAAAAGAATAGAATAGAAAATAGAATAGAATAGAAAATGAATAGAATAGAATAGAAAATAGAATAGAATAGAAAATAGAATAGAATAGAAAATAGAATAGAATAAAAATAGAAAATGAATAGAATAGAATAGAAAAAAGAATAGAATAGAAAATAGAATAGAATAGAAAATGAATAGAATAGAATAGAAAATAGAATAGAATAGAATAGAGTAACAGAGTTGAAAGGGACCTTGGAGATCTTCTAGTCCAGCCCCTTGCTCAAGCAGGAGAACCTATACCAGTGATGGGTAACCTTTTCCGGACCCAGTGCTCAAAGTGCGTGTGTGTGTGCCCGAACCCCCAATGCACGCGGCCCCCATGCATGCACCCCTCCCCTCCGCGCATGCATGTACCCCCTGAACATGCCCCGCCCCACTGCACATGCGCGTGTGCCCCCCCCACATGCCATCCACCCCCACCGCACAGCAGAGACCCGACAACCAGCTGGCTGGCGGGAGGCGCATGCGCAGCAAAGCTGAATTGGGGCGACGGCTGGTGTGCCCATAGACAGGGCGCTGCCATCACAGACCTATACCATTTCAGACAAGTGACTGTTAATAGTCTCTTCTTAAAAACCTCCAGGTTGTCCCAAAGGTGCTAGGCCCTTTGGGATGAACACCCTTCCAATGGTGTGGGAGTATGAACGGATTTCCAGAAAAACTGCAGAATACAGGAACCATCAGTTTGAGATGCAGCCAACAGAGGCTCATCCCCAACAGCCTGTTGTGGTCCGCCAGGAGCCTGCGGAGCTGGTAGCGGAGTCGGACAGTGAGGAGGCTTGGGAGGAATATGTGCCAGTCCTGGAGTCTGGGGAAGGTCTGGATGAGGGCTCTGCGTCAGAGGCAGAGATGGGGCCAGGGCCATCTGGGGGTGATGCGCAGACTCCGGAGCCTCCAGAGTGAGATAGCAGAGAGGCAGAGGAACAGGAGGAGCCTGTTCCTAGGGCATGCATGCGCAGAGCTGCCAGAAGGCATGAACAGTTAAAACAAAAGGGACGACTTGGGAGTAAGACCTGGAGATGATTGGCCCCTCCCATAAGGCTTAAAAGAGGAGCAAAGGCACGTGGGCCCTTTGCAGGAAAGCAACGTTGTTAATTCTGTTCCCAGTCGGCATCTCTGTTTGATTCTGGACTCCGTGTGGCTTTGCCAAGTAGGTCTTTGGCAGAGTGTCAAGGGAGATAAAGGCTGGTGATTATCCCAAAGGACTTTTTGCAACTAATTGGGACCCAGCTGTGAATGAACGTAATTCACAGCTGTTGCAATAAAAGAGGTTTTTGAGACTACTCGTGTGTTTTAACGACTCAGGAAGCCTAGTTCACAACACAGCCTGCGCCTGTCATCAACAGTGAAGGGACATAGGGCAGAAAACATCCTGCAGCCAAGAAGGCTCCACACCCATTTGCACCACTCAGGTGACCCTGAGGACACAGATAAACCTCTAAGTGGCCTCAACGGCTCTCTAAAAAGGATGCAAATGATCAGCTGTCTGCAAGGAATATAAATCCTTCCATTCCCCACTATCCTGTTGTGGAAGCTTCTTGGATGAGAAGTGAAACATCTTCAAAAGAAAAACAAGTAGCCTCCTGAAAAAGCACCTTTTGGGACAACCGTCATAAATTACACGCTGGTTGCCAGTGCCCAAATTTTGATCACATGACCATGGGGATGCTGCAATGAATGTAAATGTTGTCAATAACTTCTTTGCAGGGCCTGCTCTAACTTTGAACAGTCGCTAAACGGATGGTTGTACGTCGAGGATGACCTGTGTGAAGAAGCGTGCTGGGGACAATCTCTTTTTTCGTGGTGTGGCAGCCGCCAATCTGCAGGCCTGACGTACCACAAAGAGCCGAACGACTCCATCTTTCCTTTTGCCCACCTCTGCAAGTGTAAGAGATGCTCTTAATCAAACTTACAGCCGGTCTGATTGGGGAAGAGGTCTGATGCATCGTGAGAAGTGACCGAAGGCGTCAGGTCATCTGCCGAAGATTGCGTCTCCTCCTCTTCTTCTCCAGAAAGTAGATCCTTTGCTATCTGCTCCTTCATTCAACAATCAGAAAAAGAGATTTTTTTTTTTTTTAAAAAAGCCAAGATTATGTAGAGTCAAAGATTGGGGTTGACGAGACTTAAAATCAAGGAGAAGGATGACACCGAATACTTTTTAACATGGGATTTGTTTTAGAATAGAATAGAATAGGAATACTTTATTGGCCAAGTGTGATTGGACACACCAGGAATTTGTCTTTGGTGCATATGCTCTCAGTGTACATAAAAGAAAAGATACATTCGTCAAGAATCATAAGGTACAACACTTAATGATAGTCATAGGGTACAAATAAGCAATCAAACCATACTAGGAAACGGTCAATATAAATCGTAAGGAGACCAGCAACAAGGTTACAGTCGTACAGTCATAAGTGGGAGGAGATGGGTGGTGGGAACGATGAGAAGATTAATAGTAGTGCAGACTTAGTTACTAGTTTGACAGTTTTGAGGGAATTATTTGTTTAGCAGAGTGATGCCGTTCGGGGAAAAACTGCAGCTATAGTTCCCTGCACCCGGAAACACGTGACAGAAAGTTCAGCTTTGAGGAATTTATCTCTTTGAATGGCCTGTGTATAAGGAAACCGTTCATTTGGTGATGGGGGATTTGACCAAATACAGGTAGTCCTCAACTTACAACAGTTCGCTTAGTGGCCGTTCGAAGTTACGACGGCACTGAAAAAAGTGACTTCTGACCACTTTTCACTTATGACCGTTGCAGCATGTATGATTTACGTTTGGATGCTTGACAACTGATTCAGATTTATGACGGTCGCAGGGTCCTGAGGTCACGTGGGATCCCCTTCTGCCACCTTCTGACAAGCAAAGTCCATGGAGGAACCCAGATTCGCTTAACAACCCTGTTACTAATTTAACAACTGCAGTGATTCCCTTAACAAATGTGGCAAGATAAGTTGTAAATTGGGGCAAGATTCACTTAACAAATTTCTCACTTAACAACTTGTTTGTTTGTTTTGTTTTATTAAATTTATATAAACTTAAACTTTGGGCTCAACTGCGGTCATAAATTGAGGACTACTTGTAATTCTGCAGACCTAACAAGGTTAATCAAATCAGGCAGAACTGGTGCACATTGGGTCTCCTTAATTAAACCAGGCCATCGGAAAGTCAGCCTTCTAAGTGATGGCAGGAGCCATGGTGGCGCAGTGGTGAGAATGCAGTATTGCAGGCTAACTCTGCTCACTGCCAGGAGTTCGATCCTGACTGGCTGAAGGTTGACTCAGCCTTCCATCCTTCCAAAGTCGGTAAAATGAGGAGCCAGATTGTTGGGGAGGCAAGATGCTGACTCTGTAAACTGCTTAGAGAGGGCTGTAAAGCACCGTGTGGCGATATATAAAGTCTAAGTGCTATTGCTATTGGTGGCACCTGCATTCCGGAGTATTTCCTCAGAAATCTTTAGAGCGTCCACCTTAAGGTCTTTAAGAGATGCGGTGGCTCAGTGGCTAAGACGCTGAGCTTGTCGATCGAAAGGTTGGCAGTTCAGCGGTTCGAATCCCTAGTGCTGTATAACAGGGTGAGCTCCTGTTACTTGTCCAGCTTCTGCCAACCTAGCAGTTGCAAAAAATGCAAGTGGAAAAATAGGGACCACCTTTTGTGGGAAGGTAACAGCGTTCCATGCGCCTTTGGCATTTAGTCATGCAGGCCACATGACCACGGAGACGTCTTCAGACAATGCTGGCTATTCGGCTTTGAAACGGAGATGAACACCGCCCCCTAGAGTCGGGAATGACTAGCACATATGTGCGAGGGGAACCTTTACTTTTACCTTACTAAGGTCTTTAAAAATTTGGGTGTTCTCCCAATCCTTGGAGTAGGCTGGTGGTGGACCTCAGTTGTTTGTTTATTATGATGTATAATATGTGGTCATTTTCGATACGTAGGTTTTTTTCTTTGTAATATTTTTTGCTCCTAGGTGTAAGCCGCCCAGAATTATTCTGGAGTCAGCCAGTCCCTAAATCTGTGTTTCTCAATCTTGGCAACTTTAAGACATGTGGACATGAGAACCGATGAAGCTTCTTGGATGAGAAACATCTTTATTTTATTTTCTTCCTTAAGAGGGAAACAAATCACAGTCCAATTGTCTTTTGAAAAAGCACTTTTGAGACAACCATGACCTGGATGATTGAGAATCTCCAGAGACAAGTGTGGACTTCAACTCCTAGAATTCCCCAGCCAGCACGGTTGACTGTGGAGTTCCAGGTATAAAACTGCACGCATCTTAAAATTGCCGAGGTTGCAAAACACTAATCTAAATACTTATATATTTATACTTTGTTTATTTGGCCAAGTGTGGTTAGACATAGAAGGAATTTTGTCTCTGGTACAGAAGCACTCGGCATACTTGCAAAATAACAGAATATAACAGTAATACTAAAATGTACAACCAATAAAAAGAGAGAGGTAAAAAATAACAAAAGGGATAAATAATAATACTGCAGTCATCCCCTAAAGATAAATATACATATGCATTAGACAAAAAACGTAGCAGTCACTGTATTTTATCAGCTGCGAAAGATTTAGCACATAATAATAAATCTAAATCTAGCACATAACCATAAATGATAATACTGTAACCGACTACAGACAACGGCAGTGCAAAGTAGCAACAATTGGTGCATTGAAAGATCTGCAAGAAATACCATTTGCCTGCAAGCAAGAAGTGGTGGGACCATAAAATACAGAAATAGAAAATGAAGACGCTAAAGTACTTTAGAATTCAGACTGACAGACACCTGCGACAACAATACCCCAGACTTATCAACTGTCAATAAGAAAGTTTGAAAAGTGGACGTGGCAGTGCCTGGGGACAGCAGAAAAGTAGAGAACACCTGGAGAAGATAACAAAATACGAAGACCTGCAAACAGAAGCAGGGCAACTGTGGAAAAAGAAAGCAAAGGTAGGACCAATAGCGATAGGCATCTTGGGTGCAATCCCAAAACATCTGAAGCAGTATTTGAACATCATCGGCATTGATAAAATCTCCATCAGTCAATTGCAAAAGGCAGCTTGACTCGAACAGCTGACATCCTGCGAAGAGTCCTTTAAGACCATCAAATATCCACATCTGCCTATCTCAGGTCCTTGGGAAGGACTTGATAGGTGAATAAAAAATGCCAAGTCCAATATGAACATCTGGCTGACTGTGTGATGAACCATACTAATACTAATACTTACTGACTACTGGAGAGACCAAAACGGCCTACAAGAAAAACCAAATGAAGAACAGAATGGAGGCAAGAATGGAGACATTTAAAAAAAAAAACAGCAAGAAAAGCAGATAATAACAAGACCTGGCAATGGCTAAGAGCAGGGAAGTTGAAGAAAGAGACTTGAGGGAGTAATTTTGGCTGCAGAAGACCAAGCCTTTTTTTTTTTTTTTAATTTTTAAACAAACAATTCATCATTAATCAATCAGTGTAACATCTTGGTACAAACTTTTTTGTGTCATCATATTCAACATTTATCATCATTTTCTTAGTACATATTTATCTTTCCTCTTACATTTAAATTTAATGTATTACAACATATTTTTTCCCATATTTCTTATTTTTACATTGCATATATTCTATTGTCTATATTCAGTCTCTATCCATTGATAAAATTGCCCCCCATATGTTGTAATATTCCGATTCTTCCTTCCCTCTAATTGCTAATGTTAATCTACTCATTTCTGCACATTCTAATATTTTCTTAATTAGCTCTCCCTTTGTAGGAATTTTTTTTTGCTTTCCAATTTTGTGCAAATACCATTCTTGCTGCCGTTATTACATGTATAATCAAATATGTATTTTTCTTTACACGTGAAAATAAAAATGACACAGCAACACATTGATCTTAAACTGGAACTGTTCCTGTTGAGGATCTTGCCGGAGAAATTTAGTAAAGACCGAGCCTTAAGGAGACAGGAATACAAAGCCAGAATGGAGAAGACAGCAACAGACAGCAAGTGCTGCCTATGCAAAGAAGCTGTGGACCACCTGGTAAGCTGCTGTAAGAAGATCGCACAGACCGACTACAAGCAGCGGCATGACAAAGTAGCAACAATGGTGCATTGGAAGATCTGCAAGAAATATCGTTTGCCTGCAAGCAAGAACTGGTGGGGCCATAAAATAGAGAAAGTCATAGAAAATGAAGAAGTTAGAATTGTTCTGGGACTTTAGAATTCAAACAGACCTGCCACATAACACCCCAGACTTAACAATTATCGATAAGAAAGACAAAAAAGCTTGGATAGTGGACGTAAGAGACAGCAGAGTAGAAGAGAAATACAAAGACCTACAAATAGGAATAGAACAATTGTGGCAAAGGCAAGCAAGGGTAATGCCAATAGTAATAGGCGCCTTGGGTGCAATCCCAAAACAACTGGAGCACCCCTTGAACACCATTGGCATTGACAAATTTGCCATTAGTCAATTGCAGAAAGCGGTTTTACTTGGAAGAGCTTCCATCCTGCGATGATATCTGTAACACTGTCAAACACCCAGATCTGCCTATCCCAGGTCCATGGTAAGGATTCAATAGGTAGACAAAAATGCCCAACCCAGTCTGAACAGAATGTGCGATGATCAATAACAACAACAACAATAATAATAATAATAATTGAAGTTGAGCGATTGCGGAGGAAGAAATCAATGGTTTTACAATAGTAATAGGAGCCCTTGGAGCAATACCCAAAGGGCAGCCTAGATACATGAAAATTTTGAATTTATCATACCTGAATATCCTGACTTTGCAAAAAAAAAACCCACCTTACATGGAACTGCCTATATAGCCAGACGTTACCTTAACTGCTCTTCGGTTCTTGGTTAGGACTTGAACTGTTAAGTTTTTACCAGTCCCAGACTGTGAATCGAATTGAAGATTAAATCTTAAATAATAATAATAATAAAGTGCAGGCTTTTTTGTGCTCAAGTCTGCAAGTTATTCAAAACTATTAAGGAACACGTAAGCCTCGCCTACAAAAAGCAGAGACACCTCTTTACTGTTGGAGGACCGGCTTCTGAGTGCAGCAAATCCCAGTTTTCTTCTTGGCATCTCCGGGGAGCAAGTATCAGCTAGCAATCCGCGAGAAAGATCTCCTCTTTATGAAATAACTGGAAAAAAAATTCTGCTTGTCCTTCGCTTTAACAAAGAAGCGATAGACTCAAGAAGGTCAAAGGCAGACAGATGGCCCTGGAAGTTCATAACATTCAGTGAGGTGTTGGTGGGTTGGACCAACATGCTAGCCTAAGCTCAAATGGCTTTAAAGTAATCGGCAGCTCGGTGTTTTGCGAGAAGCAGCTATGATGTTAAGCCACACTAACGGTTTATTACTTTGGGCACTGCATGCCATGTGAACACAGCAACTGTGTTGAGGTTAAGTTTAGGACGACTATTTAAGGAAGAGAGAGTCAGTCTGGTGTAGTGATTAAGGCGCGAGGCTAGAAGCGGGAGACTGGAAGTTCTAGTCGCATCCTAGCCATGAAAGTCAACTGGGTGACTTTGGGCCAATCACCAGGAGACGGTGAGTTCCAGTCCTGCCTTAGCCAGGAATGCCAGCTAGGTGACTTTGTTCAATATGAGTTCTAGTACCACCTTAGCCACAAAAGCTGGCTGGGGGACTTTGGGCCAATCACCAGGAGACAGTGAGTTCTAGTCCCACCTTAGCCAGGATAGCCAGCTAGGTGACTTTAGGCCAATCACCAGGAGGCGGTGAGTTCTAGTCCCACCGTAGCCATGAAAGCCAGCTAGGTGATGTTAGGCCAATCACCAGGAGATGGTGAGTTCTAGTCCCACCTTAGCCAGGAAAGCCAGCTGGGTGACTTTAGGCCAATCACCAGGAGACGGTGAGTTCTAGTCCTACCTTAGCCAGGATAGCCAGCTAGGTGACTTTAGGCCAATCACCAGGAGGCGGTGAGTTCTAGTCCCACCGTAGCCATGAAAGCCAGCTAGGTGATGTTAGGCCAATCACCAGGAGATGGTGAGTTCTAGTCCCACCTTAGCCAGGAAAGCCAGCTGGGTGACTTTAGGCCAATCACCAGGAGATGGTGAGTTCTAGTCCCACCTTAGCCAGGATAGCCAGCTAGGTGACTTTAGGCCAATCACCAGGAGGCGGTGAGTTCTAGTCCCACCGTAGCCAGGATAGCCAGCTGGGTGACTTTGGGCTAATCACCAAGATGGTGAGTTCTAGTCCTACCTTAGCCAGGAAAGCCAGCTGGGTGACTTTGGGCTAATCACCAGGAGACAGTGAGTTCTAATCCCACCTTAGCCAGGAAAGCCAGTCGGGTGACTTTAGGCCAATCACCAGGAGTCAGTGAGTTCTAGTCCCACCTTAGCCAGGAAAGCCAGCTGGGGGACTTTGGGCCAATCACCAGGAGACAGTGAGTTCTAGTCCCACCTTAACCATGAAAGCTGGCTGGGAGACTTTGGGCCAATCACCAGGAGACAGTGAGTTCTAGTCCCACCTTAGCCAGGAAAGCCAGCTAGGTGACGTTAGGCCAATTACCAGGAGACAGTGAGTTCTAGTCCCACCTTAGCCAGGAAAGCCAGCTGGGTGACAGTGGGTCAGTCACACTCTCTCTCAATCCAACTTGCTTCACAGGGTTGTTGTTGTGGGGGAAATAGGAGGAGGACAGTCTGGTAGGTATGTTTGCCATCTTGAGTTATTTGTAAAAATAATAAAACGGGATAGAAATGACATAACAAATTAAAATCCAGGAGAATCAAATTCTACCACATCCGTCTCAACCTGGGCGCCCCACCGGACAAGTGTGGATCATCCCTTACCTTATCCAGGGTCATGTCTGGAAGGTTGGGCGTAGCATCGTTGCTCTCACTCTCCTGCTCAGAGATGGCGTCAGAAGCCTCATAGCCGTACAGGGCCAGCAGCTCTTCAAAGGGCATCTCACTGTTCTGAGCCACAAGACAAGAGTAATAATACTTACCTTCAGTTCTGGCAATGGGGAACTTGCAAATCAGCAGCACGACATATAGGAACATAAGAGGTAGCTCTTGATTTACAACCATTCGTTTAGTGACAGAAACTTTGGGCTCAATTGTGGTCGTAGGCCGAGGACTGCTTGTATTCAAATTATAGAAGATTATCTGAATTACCCGTGCTCTGTTACAAAACTATATGATTGGGCTTGATAAATCGACACTTAAGAATCCAGTCTCTCCTTGAAGGGTGATATAAAGCTCCCACAACTTCTGAAGGCAACTTCTGTTCCACTGGTTGATTGTTCTCACTGTCAGAAAATTTCTCCTTATTTCCAGGTTGAATATCTCTCCTTATTCAGTTTCCATCCATTATTCCTTGTCTGGCCTTCGGGTGCTTTGGAAAATAGCTTGACCCTCTCCTTTCTGTGGCAGCCCCTCAAATATTGGAAGACTGCTATCCTGTCTCCCCTGGTCCTTCTCTTCACTAGACTAGCCATGCTCAGTTCCTGCAACCGTTCATCCTATGTTTTAATCTCCAGACCCCTAATCATCCTGGTTGCTCTTCTCTGCACTTTTTCTAGAGTCTCAACAACTTTTTTATTGTGTGGTGACCAAAAGTGGATGCAGTACTCTAGGTGTGGTCTTACTAAGGCTTTATAGAGTGGTATTAGTACCTCACTTGATCTTGACTGTATCCCTCTGTTAATGCAGTTTTAGGATTGTATTGGCTTTTTTGGCTGCCGCCACACACTGCTGCCTCATATTTAGCTGGTTATCCACTAAGACTCCAAGATCTCTCTCACAGTTACTGCTATTCAGTTACTGGCCTGAATAGGTTTTATGGGTTAGTTTTTTTAATTGTATAGCTTGGGGTTTTAAATTGGGAGGCCGATTAATTTAATTTATTTTTAGTTATCTTAACGTTTATATTGTATGTTATTTTAATTTTCGGCTGTTCACCGCCCTGAGTTCCTTCGGGGAGAAGGGCGGGATATAAATTCAATAAATAATAAATAATAATAATATTCAGCCTGGTTTCTCCTAATCTATATTTGTACTTTTGGTTTTTCTTGCCTAACTGTAAGACTTTACTTTTCTCTACACTGAATTTCATTTTGTTAGTTAGGGCCCACTGTTCGAGTCTGTGTCAAGATCCATCTGGATCTTGAGCCTGTCATCTAGGGCCGTGATGGCGAGCCTATGGCACGCGTGCCCAAGGTGGCACGCAGAGCCATCTTTCCAGGCACGCGAGCTGTCGCCCACTTCACCTGCAGCTGCGCATGTGCGCACGCCCCAGCTGGTGTCCAGGCCTCCGGTGCGCATGTGTGCAATTCAGGAGACCCAGCTGGTCTTCAGAGCTCTCCTGCGCATGAATTTGCGCATGCACATGAGAGTACTTGCACACAGCACGCACATGCGTAAATGGCGTTCACACGTGTGCATTGCCATGTGTGAAAACCACATGCATGCGCAGATGGTGCAATTGCGCGCAGAGCACACGGAGGGAGCCACGTGAAAGCCACACGCATGTGCAGATGGTGTGGTTGCGCACGCAGCGCAGGGGGCCGTGAAACCTGTGTGCAGGTGTAGATGGTGCGGTTGTGTGTGCAGCACACGGGGAGAAGCCGTGTGTTAGTGTGGGTAGCACGCGTGCGTGCGAAACACCTGAAGCGAGTATCTGTTCGGCACTTGGTGAGTAAAAGATTCGCCACCACTGATCTAGGGTGTGGGCTATTCCTGCCAGCTTAGTACCATCTGCAAATTTGGTAAGTTCCCCGTCTATTCCCTTGTCTAAGTCGTTTATGAAGAAGTTATTGAAGAGTAATGGGCGTCAACTCTGAAAACGACTCTAGCTGAAGCCATATTTCATTGCAGATGACGCTGAAGTCATTGCAGATGTCACCAAGCTGGCAGGAATAGCCAACACTCCAGAGGATAGGCTCAAGATACAGAAGGATCTTGACAGACTTGAACATTGGGCGCTATCTAACAACAGAGCCTGTAGTACAGTGGACTAAAGCACTGTTATTAACATCTATTAACATCAGCTGCCTGCAATTATTGGAAGTTCAAATCTCACCAGGCTCAAGGTTGACTCAGCCTTCCATCCTTTTGAAGGTAGGTAAAATGAGGACCCAGATTGTGGGGGCAATAAGCTGACTTTGTATAAATATACAAAAAGTATGAAGGCTATTGCTTAATGCATTGTAAGCCTCCCTGAGTCTCCGGAGAAGGGCGGCATATAAATTAAAGCCAAAAATAAAAATTAAAAAAAAAATGAAATTCAACGGTGAAAAAAGGAAGGTTCTACATTTAGGCAAGAAAAACAAAATGCACAGGTACTGTATATGTGGTACCTTGCTCAACAGTAATAACTGTGAAAGGGATCTTGGAGTCCTAGTGGACAACCATTTAGATATGAGCCAGCCTTGCGCTGCAGCTGCCAAAAAAGCCAACACAGTTCTGGGCTGCATCAACAGAGGGATAGAATCAAGATCAGGTGAAGTGTTAATACCACTTTATACTGGCTTGGTAAGGCCACACTTGGAATACTGCATCCAGTTTTGGTCGCCACGATGTAAAAAAGATGCTGAGACTTTAGAAAGAGTGCAGAGAAGAGCAGCGAAGAGTATTAGGGGACTGGAGGCTAAAACATATGAAGAACGGTTGCAGGAACTGGGTATGTCTAGTTTGATGAAGAGAAGGACCAGGGGAGACATGATAGCAGTGTTCCAATATCTCAGGGGCTGCCACAAAGAAGAGGGAGTCTAGCTATTCTCCAAAACACCCGAAGGCAGGACAAGAAGCAACTGGTGGAAACTAATCAAGGAGAGAAGCAATTTAGAACTAAGGAGAAATTTCTTGACAATTAGAACAATTAATAAGTGGAACAACTTGCCTGCAGAGGTTGTGAATGCCCCAACGTTGGAAGTTTTCAAGAAGATGTTGGATAACCATTTGTCTGAAGTGGTGTAGGGTTTCCTGCCTGGGCAGGGGGTTGGACTAGAAGACCTCCAAGGTCCCTTCCAACTCTGTTATTCTATTCTATTCATATTTTTCTTGCTTCGTTTCTGAGTTGCCATACATGGGGAGGGTTTGGGGGGGGGGAAGGAGGACTTATGGAATGTAGGATGCTTTCCTCCAACGTGCCAGACATAACAAAGATAAGGCTCCTGAGAACCAAGGTCAGATCGATGTGCCCTAGCAACAGCAGGAGGGAGTGCTGAGAAGTTCATCACCCGCTTGGTTGGCTTACGTGTGTGTGGACAGTATCTATTCTTTAATTATACCAAAAAAGCGGGAATTATTCAGTGTTGGTTTTACATGTGACCGTGCCGATATGATGTACCCAATAAACAGGGTTTTGGAGGTCTCAGAATCTCGAATTGGCATTACTCGGAACCACGACATTGGGCCTAAGACAGAACCTTGTGGTACCCTCCTTGCAGTCACATGACCACATTTTGAACACTTGGCAACCCTGTTGTGGTGGAATCCCCTGGCTAAAGAGAAAGGGGAATAAAGAGGTGGTCTACTTTACAGTCACTCATGGAAGAAAACAGCAGAGGCCAGACTACAGGTAGTCCTCAACTTATAACTACAACTGAGCCCAACATTTCTGTTGCTAATGGAAACATTGAATTTTGCCACCATTTCCCGACCTTTCTTTTCCACAGTTGTTAACTGAATCACTTTTCAGTTCAATCTAAAGTGGTATTCGAGCAGCCCCAATTTCCTAATTATCTTTATTCTCATTTTTTTCTGAGAAAAAATGATTTACGTCCATTTTTCAGAGTTACAACCTTTGTAGCATCCCCATGATCACGTGATCAAAATTCAGATGCTTGGCAACCGATTCATATTTACGACGGTTGCAGTGACCTGGGGTCACGGGATCCCCTTTTTGCGACCTTCTGATAAACAACGTCAATGGGGAAGCCGGATTCACTTTACAACTGAACCGACTTCAGGGTCGTAAAATGGGGCAAAACTCACTTAACAAATGTCTCACTTAACCCCAGAAATATTGAGGCTCAATTGTGGTCGTAAGTCGAGGACTACTTGCATACTATTGTGCAAAAGTAAAAAAGTCGAGGTTGTAAATATTATTATTGTCAGGGTTCCAAGTAACACACCGAACGAAAGAAGACTCCGAGGCTAGAAGTTCCTCAAAGTTTATTAGAGATGTCATATTGGCACATCTGGGAAAACCCGAATCTGAAAGCTTCCAGGTTTTCCCCACCCAAAGGAAAGTCCAAGTCCCTTCCCCTGCACCCACATCTCCATCACGTGGCCCAATCAATCACGTGGTCCCAACTGGAGATGCCTCCCAGTCACACCACTCCAGATAGAGGGCAAGCTGTCCTTGACTCTCAAAGAAAAGAATGTTATTATGGGTAGATATCACTTTACTCCATACAATCCCCCCTCCCATTTTCCCACAGCACTAAATGTAGCAGCCCTGAAGATCCAAAGAAAAAGATGGCTTCCAGGACTGACAATTATATTCTACTGTGCTATAAAGAGTTGGAAATTAATGCTTCTTTTTTCCCCCCTTCCTACCCCACATCGTCTCTTCTTCCTTTGGTCTCTCCCCTAGTCTTCCATAACTTTTGATTTTCGTTTGTATTTTATATTTTGATAAACTAATAAAATTTATTAGCTGGGCCTGGTGGCTCAGCAGACTAAAAGCATTGTGATTAACATCAACTGTCTGCAATTACTGTAAGTTCGAATCTCACTAGGCTCAAGGTTGACTCAGCCTTCCATCCTTTCTAAGGTAGGTGAAATGAGGACCCAGTTTGTGGGGGCAATAAGATGACTTTGTATAAATATGCAAAAGTATGAAGGCTATTGCTTAACGCATTGTAAGCCTCCCTGAGTCTCCGGAGAAGGGCGGCATATAAATCAAATTTTTTAAAAAAATTGAAAAAACTGAAAGAAGATAATCACGGCTTATGACGTTAATTGCCAGGCTCAGTTATGGTCAGTTAGCTTATCTGAATAAGTCGGCAGGGCTACCTGTATGTATTTGTGTACATACACAAGTATGTTTTTGGAGGCTAAAACATACAAAGTTTTCAATATGTTCAAAAACCTAAATCCTCTTGAAAAAAGCACCTTTGGGACAACCTGAATGACTGAGAATCTCCATAGACCTTCCCTGGGTAAGTAAAGAATAGACCTCCAAGCCCCTTACCTGGGCGGCATTGAAACTCTTCTCTATCTCTTCCAAAGGCTTCGCTTTCTCCTCTGCGTGGTCTGGCTCCTCGTCGGCCTCCTCCGTTTTTTCCTGTACTCCGTAGTTCTGGGACAGGATCTCAGCCAGGTTGAATCGATGGTCAGCTGAGCCCATAGACACCACTGTGTGGATTTGGGGGGTGGGGGCGAGAAAGGGGAAAAAAGGCTACCGTTAGCCACTTGAGAACTGAATTTGATTTGCTTATTTTTTTTTTAAATAAAGTTTATTTTCATTTTTAAAAATACAATACTTTACATATATACATACAAGGTTATTGCAACTAATGTACACAAATCTGCGCCTATAGCACTAATACAATCCATTGATTTGGAAAATTACAGAATGCGCAGAGGCAGACCGGTTAATGAAATTACTTAGGAACCAAAAGGATTCTGATTATTACAAATGTTGGAATTTATGGTATAATTGGGTGAAAGAAAAGAGAGAGAAATGAAATGGATTGATTTGCTTATTTATAAAATTTATAGGGCGCCCATCTTACCTCAAAGTGTAAACACCTGAATACACCTGAGATCCATCTAGATTTCATCACTTTATACCGGTAGCCTACGACCAAAATTTCCATTGCTAACGAAGACATTTGTTAAGTGAATTTTCTGCCATTTTCCGACCTTCCTTGCCACAGTTGTTAAGTGAATCGCTGCAGTTATTAAAATATTAACATGGCTGTTAAGTGAATCTGGCTTCCCCATTGACTTGGCTTTGTCACATGGGGATCACATGACACTGGGACATGCAACCATCATAAATACATGCCAGTTGCTGAATTTTGATCACTTGACCATGGAGATGCTGCAATGGTCATAAGTGTGAGAAACATTGTAAATCCCTTTTTTCAGTGCCATTGTAACTTTGAACGGTCACTAAAGGAATGGTTGTTAGTCGAGGACTAGCTGTAGAAGGATCATGAGGATGAAGCTAAACACAACAATTGATAAAATACAGAGAGTATCTCATAAGCGATTACCAAAGATGGTGTAAGGGAAATTATGCATCTCTGGCAGATGGGAATCCTGAATTTGGAGGCCACCAACAAAGATTATGTTTTTCTTGGTATCTATCAATCAACAGGTAGTCCTCAACTTACAACTATTCATTTAGCAACCATTCAAAGCTGCAAGAGTTTAGGACTGATCCTCACACCTATGACCACAGCAGCATCCCGACAGTCACGTGATTGCAATTTGCAACCTTCCCGGCTAGCTTCCAATGAGCAAAGTCAGTGGGAGAAGCCGGATTCGCTTAATGGCCATGTGATGCACTTAACAACTGCAACTGGTGTGCTTAAAAACTGGTTCAAAAAGGTCATAAAATCGGCTGTGACTCACTTAGCGAACACAATGCTTAGCAATGGAAATTCTGGTCTCCCAACTGTGGTCATAAGTCAAGGACTACCTGTAATTCTTACTTTTGGTGGAGATAAAAGCTGATTCTCTTTGGTTGGGCAGCTCCAAAGTAGATCAGCCCACATTTACAGCTAGCCCTAAAGGTACAAACCAGTAATTGCAGCAGATGTAGATTTGGTCTATAGCAGGGGTCTCCAACCTTGGCAACTTTAAGCCTGGAGGACTTCAACTCCTAGAATTCCCCAGCCAGCTTCTGAGAGTTGAAGTTTAATTTAATTTAATTTAATTAATTCAATTTATATGCCGCCCCTCTCCGAAGACTCAGGGCGGCTCACAATACATTTTAAAAAATCATTATAAAAAACATTTAAAAATTAAAAGCATTAAAAACATTAAAAACTCATTTTTAAAGTCTGCCAAGCTTAAAGTTGCCAAGGCTGGAGACCCCTGGTCTATAATGTTTTGGTATTTTTTGGTAGATTCACAGCAAGTTGGTTGCAGAGATGGAGAACCAAAGCAGTTATCAGGAGAAATATTAATGAACAATCATAATTCAAAATGAACGAAGAACAATGATTCAAAAAAGACCAGTCTTAAGACTAGAAGGAGACCTCCTTACCTGCCGTGGTATGAAGATTGGATCGCCCAGAACATAAGTTATGTGCAGGATAAGACACGATCCTGGGGCTTTGCCTCCCAATCGAGGCCTTTAAAGGAAAAAAAAAAAAGTTATTTCACGATTCATATTTATATGATGTAGATTTACACTTTGTCTTTCTGTTAAAGAAAGAGATTGAGATTGTTTCCTAGCTCATGCTGTACTAAATTTCTCAGCTGTGCTAGTCTTCATCTTCAAGATCGAAGCCTTAGTAAGACCACACTTGGAATTCAGCATCCAGTTTTGGTCACCACAATATAAAAAAAAGATGTAGAGACTCTGGAAAGAGTGCAGAGAAGAGCAACAAAGGAGACTAGAGGCTAAAACATACAAAGAACAATTGAAGGAATTGGGTGTGTCTAATTTTTTTTATTTTTATTTTTTAAATTAGATTTATATGCCGCCCTTCTCCGGAGACTCAGGGAGGCTTACAATGCGTTAAGCAATAGCCTTCATCCTTTTGTATATTTATACAAAGTCAGCTTATTGCCCCCACAACTGGGTCCTCAATTTACCTACCTTAGAAAGGATGGAAGGCTGAGTCAGCCTTGAGCCTGGTGAGATTCGAACATGCAATAATTGCAGACAGCTGAATGTTAATAACAGGTTTTTTTAGTCTGTTGAGCTATCCAGGCTCCTAATTTAATGAAAAGAAGGACCAGGGGCGACATGATAGCAGTCTTCCAGTATTTGAGGGACTACCACAAAGAAGAGGGAGTCAAGCTATTCTCCAAAGCACCTGAAGCAATGGATGGAAAGTAATCGAGAGATCCAACCTAGAATTAAAGAGGAACTTCCTAAGGGTGAGGAGAATTGATCTGTGGAAGAGCTTGCCTCCAGAAGTTGTGGGTGCTCCATTACTGGAGGTTTTTAAGAAGAGACTGGACAGCCACATGTCTGAAATGGTATAGGCCAGTGATGGCTAATCTTTTTGCCGTCGTGTGCCAAAAGCAGGGGGAGCAGGGGGATGTTGCGTGTGTGTGTGCCCCATAATTCAGTGCCCCACCAGCACTCCCCCAGCTTTTGGCACGTGACGGCAAAAAGGTTATCGGTGGGCCCAGCAGGCCTGTTTTTTGCCCTCCCCAGGCTCCAGAGGCTTTCTTGGAGCCTGGAGAGGGTGAAAACAGCCTTCCCCACCCAGCCCGTAGGCCGGAAATGGCCCATTTCCTGACTTCCGGTGGGCCTGGAAGGCCCGAAAATCAGCTGGCCGGAGCGCGCATGTGCACTGGAGCTGAGCTAGGGCAATGCTCGCGTGCCCACAGATACGGCTCCACGTGCCACCTTTGGCACGCGTGCCATAGGTTCGCCATCACGGGTATAGGGTCTCCTGCTTGACCGGCGGGTTAGACTAGAAGACCTCCAAGGTCCCTTCCAATTCTTTTTATTTGTCTGGTGGACTATTGTTTTTCAATGGCATTCATCTAAATCTGAAGACCTCCGGATGATTTAAACTAAAGCAGGGATGTCAAACTAAAGGCCTGTGGTCTGGATTGGCCCTCGGGTTGATTAGTTCTGGCCGGTGGGGCTGCCCCGGAAACAGCAAAGGACTGGCCCGCGGTGCCTCTGGCAGCGAAAACAGAGCTTGGGGCGGGGGCACACGAGGAGGAGGTAAGCGCAGCCGGGCACCCCCTCAGGGAAGCGGGGCTGGGCTGTGGGGGTCCCATTGCCTTGGGAGCTCAAAGGCCAGGCCGGGTGCTTGCCCCCTCCTGCCTAGGGCTCTGGACGGCCTGCACCGCCATCCAGGGGTCCTCCGCATGGCCTAAGAGGGATGGCGAAGCTCTTCTGGAGTACAAGGGATTGGCCCTCTCCCTGATTTCACCTTCCTCTACTGGAGACAATGGACCCCGCCCAGGCCACCACAGGCGCCCCTCCCCGACATGAGTGACGTCATGCCGACCACACCCATCCTGCCCACACCCACCATTGCCCACCCCCTCCGGAGGTCAAACACAACCCTGATGCGGCCCTCAATGAAATCGAGTTTGACACCCCCGAACTAGAGCTACCATCATTCCCAGCCACACAGCAGCCTCGGTGGTGCAGCGGACTAGAGTGCTGTTAAGTGCTAGCACTTAGCTGCCAGCTGCCTGCAATTAGTGCAAGTTCGAATCTCACCAGGCTCAAGGTTGACTCAGCCTTCCATCCTTCCGAGGTAGGTAAATTGAGGACCCGGATTGTGGGGGCAATAAGCCAAATTTGTATAGAACAAGACCGCTGGGGGGGGGGGGGGCGAAAGCCCTAATAAGCAGGTATATACAAAAAAGTATGCAGGCTATTGCTATAATGCAGTGTTTCCCAAACTTTTGACATATGTGTACCCTTTCTATAATTTTCGTAACGCTGAGTACCCCTCATAAAAAACATATGCTTTAATAAAAATCAAAATATATTTATTTTTTCTTTTTTTGGTACATACACAAAATAAACGAAAGTTATATTATAAAGAACATTTATTTGATTCAATGAGAAGGATGAAATTGTTTATGTTGAGATGACAGATCACGGTGCAGTGGATATTCCCATGTGATCCCCACCAAACTCCGGTGCAACGCGTACCCCCACCAAACTCTTCCCATACCCCTGGGGGTACGCGTACCACACTTTGGGAAACACTGCTATAATGCATTGTAAGCCGACCTGAGTCTACGGAGAAGGGCGGCATATAAATTGGACTAATAAAATAAATAAATGATAGGAACTGTGGTGCAATGTATTTATTTGGACCAGTTAATCTTTCTCAGCCCAACCCACCTCACAGGATTGTGGTTGTGGGGAAAATAGAAGGACGAAGGTGGATTGCTGCCTTTTGAGTTACACGTAAATATAATAAAGGCGAGGGTGCTCGCCCTCGTCTTACGACCCCAATTGGAGTCCAACACTTCTGTTGTTAAGTGAGACATTCGTTAAGTGAGTTTCCCCCCCCCCCATTTTACAACCTTTTTTTTTGGCCAGAGTTGTTCAGTGAACCACTGCAGTTGTTAAGATAGCCACACGGTTGTTAAGTGAATCTGGCTTCCCCCGTTGACTTTATTTATTTATTTATTTATTTATTTTGACATATTTATATGCTGCCCTTCTCCCGTAGGGCTCGTGGCGGCTCACAACAATAGAAAAACCCGACAATAAGTAAAAATTAAATAGTATTAAAACCAAATTAAAAATCCCCAGATACCCAAATTAAAATCCGCTGCAGATCAGGGAAGTTAATGGAAGAACCATGTCTTTAGGTCGGCGCAGAAGGTGCGGAAGTCGGGGGCCGTCCGGAGCTCGGTGGGCAACCCATTCCAGAGGGTCGGGCTTTGCTGGTCAGACGGTCGCAAAAGGGGATCATGTGACCCCGGGACACTGCGACCGTCATAAATATGAACCGGCTGCCAAGCGGCTGAATTTGATCATGTGATCATGAGGATGCTGCCAAGTGCAAAAAAATGGTCATAAGTCACTTTTTTCAGTGCCGCTGCAACTTTGAACGGTCACTAAATGAACTGTTGTAAGTTGAGGACTACCCAAGCTCATGGGTCTTTTAGGAAAATCTTGTGAGGAAGATGCCTTCAACCTGTAGGCAGGAGCGCATGTGTTGTAATGCGTTATTCCCACGGGATTTACTGATTAGTAAATTGCGGATGTGCCCTCATTAGAGACTGCTTGTTAGCTTGGGAAAAGAATCTACTAAATGCCAGAAATGGAGGACAGAACCAATTCAAAATCCTCCACCAGTGGTTTAACGCGCCTACAGGGAGTCCTCGATTTACGACAGTTCATTTAGTGATGGTTCCAAATTCACAACGGCACTGGAAACACAGACTTGCAACCGTTTTTCACAGACCTTTGCAGCATCCCCGTTGGTTACGTGTTCGAAATTCAGGCGCTTGGCAACTGGTTCCTACTTATGACCGTTGCGGAGTCCCATAATCACGCGATCACCCTTTTGCGACCTTCTGACAAGCAAAGTCAATGGGGAAGCCGGATTCACTTAACGACTTATCCACCGCAGTGATTCGCTTAATGACTCTGGCAGGAAAGGTCGTAAAATGGGGCAAAGCCCATTTGACAAACTGCCTCACTTGACCACAGAAATTTTGCCCTGAATTGTGGTCGTAAGTCGAGGACTGCCTGTACGCATATACATTTTGCCTTCCAATTTCTTTTGAATGGCAGCAAAGGCGATAGATGCCCAGAAACAGAGAATTTGGATGCCAATTCCTAGAAATCTTAAATAACCTTTTCAGATCGGTGCCAAAAAGAATTTTAAAAGCTGGCTCAGTTATTGTGGAGCGTAAAAGAAATCTGGAGCCAGAGCACTTCAAATGAATGCAGGGTTATTGCATGCTAACAACTCTCTACAAGAATCTGAACTAATGACGGTCGAAGCAAATTGGGGATAGATAAGGGTCAAGGGAATTCAAGTTCTCCTATACGACACCAGCTGATCCTATACAGGTAGTCCTCGACATACAACAGTTCGTTTAGTGACCATTTAAAGTTGCAAGGGCACTGAAAAAAAAGTGATTTATGACCTTTTTTCAGAGTTACGACCTTTGCAGCATCCTCGTGGTCGTGCCTCAGTTGTTAAGTGAATCACAGCAGTGGATAAGTTAGTAACCCGGCTGTTAAGTGAATCTGCCTTCCCCGCCTTGATTTTGCTTGTCAGAAGGTCGCAAAAGGGGATGTCCTCAGGCCACAGCAACCGTCATAAATAGGAGTCAGTTGCCAACTGTCTGAATTCTGATGACATGACCACCACGACGAAACACAATTAGTTTATATTTAGGACGGTTGGTGTGTCCTGAGGTCATGCGATCGCATTTTGCGACCTTCTGACAAGCAAAGTCAAGGGAGAAGCCGGATTCACGTAACAACTGGGTTACTAACTTATGAACTGCGGTGGTTCACTTAACAACCGAGGCAAGAAAGTTCATAAAATGCGGCAAAACTCATTTAACAGATGTGTCATTTAACCACAGAAAGTTTGGGCTCAATTGTGGTCGTAGGCCGAGGACTGCTTATATTCAAATTATAGAAGATGTCCAACTAAGGTAAAGGTAAAGA